ACCTCGTTTTCTTCTACAAACCACCCGTGGAGGGGCAGTCGCCTTGCCCATGCCGTGGAGGAGGGTCCTCGGTGAAGGCCAGGACGGTTGGAAGGCCAGGTGGCTGCTCTTCGCGGCCACCGGCGCCCCGGCCTGAACTCACACGCCGCCGCACCCACCCCCCGTCCTCGCCCCCGGCCCCAGAGAAGCCCCAGGCCGTGGTCATGGAGCAGCCCCATGGACACCACCGGCCGGCAGCCTCCTAACTGCGTCCCAGCGTGGGCTCCCCGCGTCCGACAAAGCCGGGCGCAGCTCGGCCTGCTCTTCTCGCCGGTCCCCCTCGCAGCCCTTCGCCTCCCGAGCTCCCCGGGTGGCGCACTCCGCCAGCACCCGGGAGGTCTGGCAGCGGAGGTGCTAACGGAAATTGCGGGTCCCGGAGGCCAAGCAGATGCGGGAAGACAAGGGGAGAGTAGAGAAGCCGGGTAAGCGCCGCGGGGGCGGGGCGCTGGGGGGCGGGGCGCGGGCGAGGCTTTGGCCGGGCTCTTTTCTGCAACGTGTCCCAGGAGCCCTGCACGGGGGAGGCGGGGAGGGGCAGAGGCACAGAGCCCTCTCTAGACCCTGGTGACGGCCTGCCCGTCCTCCCCTGCCTGTCCTCCCCTGCCTCTCCTCTCGGCGCCCAGGCCACCCCGCCTGAGGGTTACTGGGTTTGTCCTGCGGCTCCAGCCTTCGACCCCCGACCGGGCTGGCACCAATGCGTGCAGCTCCCCCTCCCACAACTCGGGGGCGCTGTGCCGCGGCCTCTCGCGCCAGGGCGGGTGGGGCCTGCGCATGCGCCTCGGGCACGGAAGCCAAGATGCCTGGTGATGGGCGCCAGGCTGTCTCCTGAGCCCGGGGCGGTGGGGGGCGCTGCACCTTGGCGCCTACAGCCACCCGTGCCCGACGTGCACACCCTCCGCCCAGCGTGGGGACCCACAAGGTCGAGGGAAGGTGTCATTCATCCGTCCTCCGGCACCTGCGGGGGCCGCCAGCTGCCAAGCCCCGGGCGTGCCAGGGGGAAATGGACACGTGTGCTGGGGGGGGGGCGGGACGCGGGGAAGACAGCCAGGGTAAAAAGGCCTCGGGATTGGGCCGCACCTAAGGGCAATGACCTTGGGCCAGTCAGGAGTTTCATTCCCCGCCCCCCCCCCCGCCCCCCCCCCGCGGAAGCTGGCGGTGCGGGGAGGGGCGGGCTGGTCCCCAGGTGAGGGGGGTGGGGGAGGCAGGCGTGGCGCCCTTGTAGGATCTGATGGGAGATCTTGCAGGAGGGGCCACCTGAGCCAGGCCTGGGCTGAGGGCCTCCAAGTGCACCCCTGGACCAGGGCGCGGGGTGGCCCGACCACTCTCCTGCCCGAGATGGAGCCGGGAGCTGGTGCGGGTTGGGAAGGAGGACCCAGGAGCCCTCCAAGCCGGGCTGCTGCTTTCTCTCGTCCTCCAGCCACAGAGGGTGGTGCGCGGGGCGGCGCCTCTTCCTCAGCCCACTTCCTCCCAACCCCACTCTGCCGCAGTCACCCCGGTCACCGCGGTCATCCAAATGCTGGGTCTCTCGCTCCCTACCCAGCTCCCCCGGTGACCTCAGCGCCGGGGCTGGAGGATGCTCCCTCCGCGGCCTGGTCCTGTTGAAACCCCACTCCAGCCTGCCACTGCCGCGCTGCCCCAGACCTTGTTTCACGACGCCTGCAGCACTCCCCCGCCCCCGCCCTGGGGTCCAGCTCTCACTGCCACTGGCGCTTCCCAGGGGCTGCACCCCGGCGCCTTTGGCCAGTCATCTGTCACCATCCAGCCCCACCAGCGTCGTGTCCCAGCTTCACTACCGGCTATGTTCTTGCCTTCCCCTGTGCTCTCTGGCGAAACCTGACCTGACCCTGTACTTGGCAGCCTTGGCCCTCAGCTATCCACTCGTTCATTCCTTCAGTTAGTCAAACAGGTTCTTCACGCCCCCCAGCCCAGCGTGCCGCGCCTCCTGTTTCCTAACCCAACGCGTGTCCCCACTGCAGCGAATATCCCCGCCTTCCACAGGAACATTTAAGGGGGCATCGTGGCGGCCGCCTGCCTCTCGCCCCCTCAAATCCTCTCTGGCATCGGTCCTGCCCACTTGGCTTCCCAAACCCCCTGGAAGCCCAGGGGTCGCTTTCCGGGCCTGCCCAACAGGCGGACGAGCCGGCCACACCTTGGAGCTGCGGAGGGCGCTCTGCGGATGGGATGGGACCTTGCGCGCCGCAAACCTGCCACCTCCCGGCCCAGCTCCCCACTGAGCAACTTCACCGTGTGAGTGCCGCTGCCTGTGCCAGCGGACATTGCCTCCCCCTGGGGAGACACACAGGGTCCTGAACCTGTCCAAGTGTCCTGCCCCTCCCTCTGCCGCTGGACGGCCACTCCAGGGTGTCTGCCACAGCAGCCACAGGAACTCAGCCATCAGCCCGCCCAGGCTGATCCTGGCTGCCCGGGAGCTCCTGCTGCAGGGTGGAGGGGGCGCGTCTGATGCATGGCCAGGCCCAGGCAGGGGTGCAGCCCCAGCACCAACTGTGTGCCCCTGGACCCTGGACCCTGGACAGGGCCCTCCCCACTGGCGTCCTCTGCTGCAAAACAGGCTAGGAGGACCAGAGAGGGTGCGTGCGCAGGCCCAGGCCTCTGCCTCCCCCCCTTCCCAGTTACAGGACCCTGATGTCCACAGAGGGGACTGTGGTGTGGGACCCAGGGCTTCCATTTACGAGAAACGACTGGACAGTGCGCGAAAGCAGGCCAAGCTGGGCCAGCCAGTGGAGTGTCATACGGAGGATTCTGTGTCACTCATTCTGTGTCTGAGGTCCACGGGGATAAACAGAAAAGTGAAGTCACGGTGTGCAGTCCAGCGCCAGCACGGGCCAGGTGGGCAGGGCCACAGACACTTCCTCTGCATGGCTGGCGTCCTGCACTGAGACGCGGGGAAAAGCTGACCCCAGGTTTCCCTCAAACTGCCACAGGAGCTTCATCTGTCGCCATTCATTCGCCAGAGTGGTCCCTCCTGCCTGCCAGGGCAGCTGTCTCTTTCTGGCTGGGAGATGCCGTTTGGCTCAGAAGCCTCCCTGGCCTGTCTCCCCTTGTCCCATGTGGCCCACTTGCCTCATAGCCACCTGTGGGGTCCCTCCCGTGGGTGAAACCTGCCAGCACCTCACCTGGGCCATGAGGCAGCTGGCTGCAGGTAACAGAGAAGCCAAGGGGCAGTCAGTGCATGAAACAAGGGGGAAGTAACTGGTCTTCTACCGACCAGGCGGGTTCTCTATGGCCCTACCAGGCCGCAGGGCTGGCTCTCTGCTGCACCTGCAGGCATCCTGTCCCCGTTCCATCAGGGAAAGGTGTGTTTGTTCCTTTTACAAAGCTTTTTCAGAAGCCCCAGCCGCTGACTTCTTTCATCTCACTGACCAGACCTGGGACCCGTGGCCACCGCTAGCTGCAAGGGAGTCAGGAAAAGTATTTTTATCTGGACACACTGAAGCCCAGAGCCAACTGGGGTTCTATTAGAAAAAGCAGGAAGACTATTAGGCACCTAGGAGAGTCTGCCAACACCCCTCAGGGACTCGTGACTGTACCCTTATTTGGAACAGGTTCTTGCAGATGTAATTAGTTACAATGAGATCATACTGGAATAGTGTGGCCCTTTAAGCTAATGACTGGCCTCCTTAGGAGAGATGCACAGAGGAAAAGGTCTTGTGAGGATGGAGGCGGGGAGTAAGCAACATGCTTACAAGGCACCTCCAGGCGCTGGAAGAGGCAAGGGAAGGTCCTCCCTCAGAGCCTCCCGGAGGACACTGTGACACTAGATTTCAGGTTTCCAACCTTCCAGACCTTCGAAAGAAGAAACGTCTGTTGGTGTAGCCCTCGGCTCCAAGACAATAATGAAAAAAACAGCACCCAGACCACACTCTGTGGGCAGTGGGCTTGCTCCCACGCGCTGCGACTCACCCAGGACGTGCTGGGATGTCCCGGGAACTGGAGACCATGCTGGGCTCCAGGGAGCGGCGGGTTGGCCAGGGAGGAGGTAGGGACCAGATTTCCCTGCTCACTGCACAGCCTGGGCTCTGTTTGTGTTTTTGTTTTCTTACCACATGAATATATTACTTACCCTAAATGGGATAAATATCAATTTAAATCAGGGAGAAATAAATGGATAAAAACCCCACACCTCCCCCAATCCCCCCTCCTGCCCGACTGGTTGGTAATAATGTTTAACCACCAGCTCTTGGGGTGGGAGCAGGGGACCCTGGTTTTTAGCCTTTGCCTGGGTTCTTTCAGAGGAAAGAGAAGGGAGAGAGAGAGGCCAGGGACCTCGGGGGAAGGAGCTGCTGCCTGGGACTCTAGGGAGGGGACTGCTGGGGCCTGTGACATGTCTCATGGTCACCACCTGGCCTCCTGTCCCTGGAAACTGCAGACAAGCTCAACATCACAAGCTGAGGCTGGGAGTAAATGGGGCGTGGAGGCAAAGGACAGCTGGCTCCCCTCTTGGAGGGAGGTCTGGGGGCTCTCTCGCGGGCCCCAGCCGGCAGGTAGGTGGGGCTTTTCGGCTGGGCAGCTAGGAAGGGAAGGGCCACCTCCAGGAAGCCCTCCGGGGCCTCTCGGGCTGCGTTAGGTCTAACCTCTGAAAGACTGGCCCGTCTGCCCTCTTCTGCGAGGACTTTTCTCCCTTCAGTTGGCGCCCCTCTCAGCACCCTCACCACAGCTGGGGGCTCCCGGGGAGCTCTCAGCCCTGTCAGCAGCAGACGAGCAGGGACCAGGCCGCCTGTTGCTGGGGTGACCAGGCACCTGCCAGACACCACAGCCTCGTCCAGCACATCTGAGCTCTGCACGCGCCGTCCTTGCGCCTCCATCAGCCCCATGCAGCGAACGAGGAAACGGAGGGTCTAGATGGGCCCAAACGCACCCCAGGACACAGGCCACCGAGCCGCCCAACTCTGGGAGCCGCATGCAATGAAGCCCCTTCTACGATACACAGACGAAGCCCAGCCCTCTTAAAAAACAAAGAATACTTTATTCTCTCGGTGGGGTCTGTACGACGACACCCCGTGTACAGGGCGGGAGTGTAGTTCTCCTCAGCCACCGTGGCATCCGGGGAGGGCCTGTCACCTTGCTGAAGATGCTGGGCCCCACTCGGGGCAAAGGAGGCCCCCTCTGTCTGGAGGGGCCCGACTGGCCACACCTGTGCCCAGCAGGCACTGAGGGGCTTGACCGGGAAGACACCACCTGCTGGGGAGGGCCTGTCCTGTCTCTGCTGACCACTCTGCACACCTTTGGGAAGCTTGGCTGGGCTGGAGGCAGTGGGCCAGAGCTCCAGAGAGCAGCTGTGTCCCCATTTCACAGATGGGCAGCTGAGGCTCAGAGATGTCCTTGGCCGCAGCTGTATTGGACTATTGAGATCTCCTCCCGTTGGCCTTTCCTGCTCCCCAACCCCTACCCCCTGGAGGACACAGAGCCTCCAGCCAACCCCATGGTTTCCTGGGGGGACCCCAGGTCGCCCTCCACGGCAGTGGCAGTAACGGGGTGAGTATTCCCGGCACTGCCACGCGGAGAAGCTGGGGTGCGGCGGCAGAGGACTCCGTCCCCACCGCAGAGACTGGACGGGTGGCCGCAGAGTGCGCGGGAGCTCTGCCGGCGGGAGTGTGTGCAGCCTCCGTGGGCCATGGAGAGCCTGCGGCGGGGGTGGGCGGACGGCAGCCTAGGGGAGGAGCGCTGGACGGTCTCCCACCCCGCCCCTCCGGAGCGGCGCCGAGGTCTCAGCCCCGCGCATCCTGACCACACAGCGCGGGTGTGAGGACCGCGCTGCACAGCTGACAATGAGCCCGCCAAGGTCACAACTACGGAAGCCCAGCTCAGGGGCCCAGGCCCAGGGTGTCCGGGCCGGGCGGTGGGCGGAGGGGGTGCAGTTTACTTCCAGGTTAGGTTTCTGAAATAGAGCCGCGGGGAGGCCACGCCCCACGCGACGGGGTGGGCGTCACAGGCTGGAGGGCTGAGCCAGCGCAGGCCCCGCTGAGGCGGCAGGCACGGCCTCGCCCTCGGGCTGGGCCTCCTCACCTCGCGCGTAGGTGAGCACGATGGTGACGGTGGCGAAGGTGGCGGCGTTGACGGGGAAGGCACGCAGCAGCGTGGAGGTCAGCCCGCGCGTGAAGACGCGCCAGCCCTCGGCGCGGTAACTCTGGCGCATGCAGTCGAGGATGCCCTCGTAGCGTGGGGCACCCCGCAGCCCGTCGGCCTGCAGCCGCGACTTGACCACGTCCATGGGGTAGGTGGAGAGCCAGGACATGATGCCCGACGTGCCGCCCGCCAGCAGCAGCTTGGGCACCAGCAGCCGGTCGCCCGGCTCGCAGCCCAGGGCGCGCGTCACCACGTCGTAGGTGAGGAAGTAGACGCCGAAGCTGGGCGTCTCGCGCAGCAGCGTGGACACCATGCCCCGGTTGACGCCGCGCAGGCCCTCGCACCGGTAGATCTGGGCCAGGCAGTCCAGGGAGCCGCGGTAGGTGCGCGCTGGGCTCGCGTCCTGCAGCTGCAGGCGCGTCTTGGCCAGCTCCATCGGGCAGCAGATGACACACTGGATGGCGCCCGCCGCCGCGCCCGCCAGGAACTGGTTCCACGGCGAGTCGGAGCCCAACGCCCGCAAGGTGTTGCCCTGCACGCCGAACACCAGCGCGTTGATGAAGGTGAGCCCCATGAGCGGCGATCCCATGCCCTTGTACAGGCCCAGCACCTGCGGGCGCAGAGAGACGTCAGGTGCCGCCTCTGGCGAGGCAGCTCGCGCAGCCCGGCCACCCCAGGTGTTCAGGGAGGCTGAACAGAACTTTATCGGAACCATTTCCAAGGTACAGATCTCACCGCAGGCCCCTGCCGCGGTAGGGCCGCAGCCTTCTGGAAGCTGGGCCCTGCCCCGCCCGCGCGGCCCCCACCGGCCCCCACCGCCACTCACGCTCTCCTGCTTGATGATGGACTGGAAGCAGTGGACGGTCCCTTGGTACTGCGGCTTCTCCAGGCTCTGGACCTGAAGCCGCACCTGGAAGGAGAGGGCCTGGTGAAAGGGGGGGGGCAGATGGGACCCGGGGTGCCCAGCTCCTGCGGCTGGTCCCTCGCCACCCGGCAGGGGCCGGGAGCCAGCTTTCTGCAGCCCTTGGAATCCCAGGGCGGGGTGAGGCAGGGATCTGGGCCTCTTCAGGGAGGTGTCAGTGAGCCAAGAGCTGCTGGGTGCCACCCCAGACCTCAGACAGGCAGAGGCGAGGTGTAGGGACAGACAGGCCTGACCAAAATCAGTGCCATCTCCACCTCCCGGACTGACGTTTCCTGCCGTGACCTCGGACCATCCCCACTGTCCTCAGGGAGCTCACCTAAGCCTCCTAGTTGATGATTATCTGCATTCCTTAAAATGTGGACATGAGTGTTTCTATTACTGAGCCAGATGGCATGACAACAGAGATAAACATCAAGCTGGTATTAGCATCAGTTATAAGCCATCAGCTGTCACAAGACCACCGGGAGGATGTGACCCCTGGCACCACCGCGTTTTGTCTCTTCGGCCGGTTGCGGGGACCTGTGCTGCGCCGTAACAGCACAGTGAGGGGCCTGGTGGCGAGGCAGCACCTGCACGGGTCACCAGGGACCCCTCCCGCTCCGACCCACGGCAGCCTCCCTGTAACAAATCCTGCTGTAGCCGACGGAGCTGCCTGCAGAGTCTTTTGGTCCGAAGACCCCTTCTGGTCCCGGGGGCCGCTGCACCCCTGCCCCACGTGGGACACCCAGCCTCCGGTCCCACTGTCTCTGCAGTGCGCGGACGGGTGCGCAAGCCCCTGCGGGGGCCTCCCCCGTCTCGGCGGCGAGCCAGGGCCGCTGCCAATGGGGCTCCTGACCGCGCGTCCCGTCCTCAGCCCCCTGCTACCCGCCCCATCCCCGCCAGGGGCCGGCCCGCAGCGTGGACCCCGGGGCCCCGTGCCTCAGGCTGCTGCCCCGACTGCCAGCAGCCCCTGTGAGGACAGAGGCCAGGAGTTAGTAAAGTCACAGGAAAGCAGCTGACCGCCTCCCTGGGGACCATGTCAGCAACTCTGGGGCCTGGGGATCAGGCCCTCCGTCCCCAAGGTCTCAGTGTGAAAGCCTCCTTTGTTGAACGGCAGCTTATCTCTGCACTGGCTGAGTGAGCCCCACAGTGCAGAGCGGAGCAGCCTTTCCTGAACTTGGAATCTGTGTCGCAGGGGCGGGGCGAAGCCACACTCCCTGGCCCTGACTCACTGCCGCTGCCAGGACCACGGCTCCTGTACCAGGCAGCGGCAGGGGCCTCCGGTGTAGCGACCGTGGGCCTGGGCGGTTCAGCTGCCGCTGTTTCAGAGGTGGGGCAGCCAAGGCTCAGAGGTGCCTCGTGTTCCCTTCTGTGTCCCGGCATCTCTGCAGGGACGCCTCTCTTGCCCCGTGGCTCCCACACCACCACTGCCACCGCCACCGCCACCGCGAGGGCTGGTAGCAGAGGTGGCACGAAGCAGGGCTGCCCCTCCTCGGGTCACACTTTCTAACACCCCGCAGTGCCTTTTTTTAAATTTACTGATTTTTAGAGAGAAAGGAGACAGAAAAGCATCGACTTGCTGTTCCGGTTACCTGGATACTCAGTGGTCGCCGCCCGCGGGGCCCTGTCGGGGCTCACGCCTGCGGCCCTGGAGGGCCAGGGCGGTGCTCCAGCCAGCTGAGCTCTGGCCAGGGCCCGGCGCACCTCTAGGTCTTTGCGGGCTGGACAGTTTCATTCCCGCCCAGGCTCAGGCCAGCACGGGTCCCACAACAGGCCACAGAGGCCCATGCCCCTTGTTTCTGACCCCGGGGCCTGGGATGAGCCCTCGCTGCCTGAGGGACCACGATGGGGTGGGAAATGCGGACCACGGACTCACGTTGTTGTCATATCGAGAACTGAGGGTATGAATGTCTTGGGTGACAGGATCTCGTTTGAGGATCAATGGCCCCGCCCCTGGAGAAGTGGTCACTCACACAAGCCCAGGAGTCTCCCAGCTCCCCCCAGGGCTTGGACACCCCAACATAAAGACCCCCTGGTCCAGAGGGGGATGCTTTTCCTCCACCAGCCCTGCGCAGGCCCCCAACACAGGATGTGGGCCAGGCCCAAGTGCCCCTCCTGCCCTCCTCATCCCTGCTAGGGCCCCAGAGGGAACTCCAGGGGGTGGGGTGGGGCGGGGCGGGGTCCGGGCCCAGGGTCTGGTTCGGGGAGAAGAGAAGCACCAGGTTCACCCGGTCACTGGGGCTTCCGCTCACCTGTGACAAAGTTACATTTCTGCAATGGGTGGGGACACCTCCGGCAAGGTTAAGCAACACAAAGTTTCAACATCACATCTGGGCCCCACCTCCCAGCCCCTCCCTGCCCTGGGAGAGCCACACCCGGGTGAGAGCGGGCTGCATTCAGCGTCCAGTCCGGATTCCTGCCCTGTCCCCTGAGGGAGGACAGAGGAAGACCCTTTGTGTGAAGGCAGTGTGGCTGAGGACAGTGGATCTGGTTCCAGGTTCCACGGAGGGAAACCAAATTTTAATGAAACTCCTGGCCTCAGAAGTGAGGACAGTGGAGCTGGGGTGGGGGCCGGGTGGGGGGGCAGCAGCGGCTTTGGGGGCTGGCCGTGTTCTCCTTGTCCCACGGTTCCCAGATTTGTGCACTGAGCACATGTGCCCTTTTCTGTGTGTTCCATGTCAATGTCAACGACAGCACTATGAAATAAATCCCACTTTTGCAAAAGCAAGAATACACGTGGGCCTGTGTACATTTGTTTTTCACTAGAAATCATTAACAGGGGGAAAGGCCACAGGAAGGACTGTGGTTTTTTTTTCTTTTTAGTTTATGTGTCTCTATAACGGTTAACATTTTTTAAAACGTGTGACTTTTGTAACAGAAAGCTAACCAAAAAGTGTGTCCGTGATGACTAACCACATTTAAACATCACCTGCCCACAGGGCAGCGCTGGTGGAGGCAGTTCTGACAACAAAGCACACGAGTTTAGGACGGATTTGTCTGCCGGGTCTTCTGCGTTTTTACATGTCCCAGTTTTCTTGTAAGGAGAGTGTTTAACTTTTGTAATGGAAAAGAGCCAGTAAAAAAATAAGGCCATTAAAACATTAAATTAAACCTAAGGAGTGTGCCCCACACCCAGCACCTCGCAACAGTGCGAGCCCGGGGAGCGGCGGGGGGAGGACCAGAGCAGTCCCCGCGTGGAGTGACAGAGGTGGCCCTGGGGGCAGGTAGCCCCCCTTTATCAGAAGGAACAGCTCAGTAAGACAGGGTTGCCAGGTGGGATGCTGGTGGGCCACAGCTGGTAGGACCAAGACAAGGTCCCAAGTGGACTTCCTCTCTCCAGGTGCCAGGGAGCAGAGGCTCCCGCACCCCGCGTGCACAGGGGGCACCCGCTGGCTCAGGAGCTCCGAGGGGGCAGGGCCCCGGGAGGTGTGCCCCTAGCCTGCGGGGACCGATGGAGGGCCCCGCGGGGGCCTGTGGACGGTTGCATCACAGCTCGGAGGGGCCTCTGCGAAATGGGGCTGAGGAAGAGAATCAAAGCCTCTCCTGGGCTGGACGCAGCGCCCAGAGGCCTTTCCAGCACACGGCCCGAGAGGTAAACACGGCGTGACCGCCGTGGCTCAGCTAGGCTGTGCTGGCTGTTGGCTGCGGGCGGCCTCATGGGGCACGGCTGGCTGAGCGCCGGCAGCCGTGTGGACAGGCGGCCTGGAGGGAACACAGGGGCCCCTGCGCGGCCCGAGAGCCCAGCCCTGCGGCCTCCTCCCCAAATCCACCTGCGGCGGGACGGGAGGAAACCCAGCCCCTCCGCACGGGCGTTCCACCCTGCGCAGCTTACACAGTGAGCACCGGCCAGCCCCTCGCTGTGCAGGGAACGTTTGGGCCCAGAAGTAAAGTGACAGGACCGTGTCACTGAGCAAGTCAGCTGGTGTGGCAGCCCCTGCACCAGGCCCAGGGGCAGGCATTTTTCAGGTCAGAGCCAATGTGTTAGGCAAGGCCCTGCTGCCTCCTCCGCCAGAGGAAACCTGACCCAAAGCCCCCAGTCCTTTAATTGGCCAAGGGACGCCTGGGTTCCCGAAAAGAGGGGACAGGAGGTTCACCTCCATTCCAGACTGGGATGCCATGCTTGCCTGCCCTCGGCCCACAACCCATGGAGGAGGGGCCCAGGTCAGCACCCACAGTGGACGAGGGTCTGGCCGTGTGCCCTGCCGGTTTCTAGAGCCGCCACCCTGCACCCCGCCGGGGGGAGCAGGCAGGGTAGGGCCCTGCCTCGGCTGGTGGAAGGACGTAAAACCCCAACAACAGGGAAAACCTTGGCTGGGACTTTCCAGCAGGAGCACGTGGCTTTCCTTGGTTTCCATTCTGAGGTGTCTGTTTCTGAACCAGGAACTGGCCAGTTTCTCGGGAGGTGGAGCTTCCGGAGGAGGGACCAGGTGCCCGCCCTGCAGGGGCGCACCTGCCCCCAGGAAGGGACAGCTCAGTGTCTGGACTGTGACCATCCTGCTCTGTGCAGGTCACATTCAAGGGCCACATGGAGAGGTTTTGATTTTTCTGCACGTTTGCTCTCTCTGTGCTTTTCTTTCTTTGAAGACACTGTCTGGAGGAGTTTTGCAAGAACACGGTGGGGGTCCCCGCCCTGGGCTAGGGCAAACCAGTCCCCCAGTCTCCACCGGCTGAGCCCGGGGTGGGCCCCATTGTTCAGCCCCCGCTGGGAGGTGCAGGGATAGACCCGAGAGGAAGGGCCCGCTCAGCTTAGAGGACACGCGGCCGCCCCCTGGGTGTCACCCAGAACCCGGATGCTACTCTGTTCGAGCGCCTGTGGGAAGACCTTGAAGGTGTCCCCACGGCAGACGCTGGAACGGAGCCTCCAGCCGCCCAGACCCCGCAGGCTCTGTCCCGCGTCTGTCCCTCTGCAGGGCCTGGGACTGACCCCTGAAGCCATGACGAGAGACTCACCTTGACCGTGTCAAAGGGGTGTCCCACCAGCACACCGGCCACACCTGGAGGAAGAGAGGAGGGCCTGTCACCCAGACGCCCCAGAGATGTGCAGTGCCGGGTGCAGTGCCCGGGAGGACGGCGCAGGGCTGCTGGACCGAGCAGGAGACAGTCCCCTACTGTGTGCCTGGCTCCACCGTGAGCCCCAACCCTTGGGGCGGGGCTGGGGGGCATGTGTGGGTGACCTCCTCAGGGTCCCACCAGGACCTGTCCAACTCAAAGCTGCCGTCGCTCCCTTACCCGGCTGCTCACTGCAGTTGACAACAGAAGGTGTCCCCTTGGGGGCTGCACGTGCCATCGCTAAGATTGTCCCTTTGCTCCAAACACCTTCTAGCGCAGGCAGGGCACCCCAGAAACGCTGCACTTCTCCAGACACCTCAGAGAGGAAGTGAATTTCCTCTCCGTCACTTACCAGCTGACCACGCTCACAGAGGACTCAGTGTCTGAGGCGCGTCTCACCTGCCCAGGTGTGAGCATCGACTTCCCCAGCAAAGCCCCCAGGGAAATGCCCATCCGGGGCCCAGGGCCTGGCAGGTGCTGGCCGACCGCTCCCCTCCCCCCGTGGGGCTGCCTGGTGCCCAGGAGGCAGCCTGTGAGTCTGCTGCCAGGCTTGGTCACGTGTGGGACCAGGCCCTGCCACAGCTCAGCCCCCTTCGAAGGACAAAGGCGCATATACAGTCCCAGAGCCCCGCACGCCGTGCGCACTGTGGACATCCCCGTGGCGTGGGCAGCCTCGCTACCCCACTTCAGGGGGGGGACCTGAGGCTCAGAGAGGCTCAGTTCCTGCCACGCTCTCCTCCCTAGAACTCGGTGTGTCCGTCCAGAGTGCCTTCGCTGCCATGAGTGGTGACGTGCAATGACAGCGGCTACCGCGGGACGCTTCTGCCCGCTGCTGCTGCTCCCGGTTCGCACCGGTCCTGCCTCTCCGTGCTGACGCCTGCACAGAAAGGACTCTTAGCCCATTGGACAGAGGCAGGATCCAAGGCACAAGGAAGCAATGTGTCCACACCTCACAGCTAGGAACGGTGGAGCTGGGACTCGAACCCTGTAACCCTGGGGAAACGCCCTCTGAAGTCCAGCTCTCTCACAGAGGCCCCTTCTGCACGGCCATCGGGGAACAGCTCTGTGTCTGACGAGCTTCAGGGGCCAGACCCAGAGGGGCTGCCACATCCCAGGAGGCTCCGGGCCTCCAGGGCTGCTGACGAGAACTCTGTCCTGAGTGTGTTCTTCTCCTGCGTCAGTGACTGGTTTGCTCTGACAGGAAGCCTCCGCTGTGTCAGGAATGTCATCGGAGGTGCCAAGGGGGTGTCCTTTTTCTTTGAAACAGCCCTGCCTGGCACCCACCAGCCCGGTCGTCCTGCGATCTCGCCTGTTTCTGATCAGAGAAAGTTGCCCATCGCGTGTGTGCCACAGGCGTGGCGCCAGGCCGGTCTCCTCTGGAGACCCCGATGCCTAGAGGTAACAGGTGCATGAGGAGACCTGTCTTTCCCACGAGACCCGCCTGTGTTTCCGGTCCGGAGACACGCTACGTTTCCAGCGTTTGGGATCTACCTTTGTGTTCATTTCGTGTTTTGAGTTTATCTGAAAATCCTAGTTCCGGAACCCTCTTTTTGGGCTGTTCTTGGATCTGGGGCATTTGGAACCCTGGCACTTGCCCAGGGTGCACCGACTGGCCTCCCTCCTCCCTCTGGCTAGGGCCCCTCCAGCCCCCCAAGCCCCTTGCGGCCAGGCCAAGCTGGGGGGTCCTGGGGACGCACGTGCTGGAAGTCATGGAGGCTCCCTTCCTGCGGTGGAGGGTCCAGCCTCCAGCCCCTGACTTGTCTCACACTCGGGGGGGTTGGGAAGGGCAGACCCGCACCCACCAGCCTGGGTTGGGAGGGCCCAGGGAAGGACTCCGAGGGCAGACATTTGCATTTTCCATCCGCAGGCAAGGGGGGGCCGTGACCCCAAAGCCTTTTCCTTTTACCCTCACAGCCACCCGAGAGCCAGGAGGCCCCCCCAGGCCGCCCTCCCAAGACGGCCCTGAAGCCACGGCCGCAGCAGCAGAAGTGGGCCCTCTCTCCCAACTCAGAAGCCGGTGCCCGCTGCCGGCGTCCCATGACCGTCCCGGTCCGGAGGGGGAACCACCGCCCTGGAGGCACCTGGCCACAGAGGTGGTGTGAGGGGTCCCAGAATGGCCCGCCTGTCCTGCCCCGGGCTGGGAGACCCCACCCAGAGCCCAGGGTCTGAGGGACCTTCCACCAATGGAGGCCTTGAGGTTGCAGTCAATCAAGGTCCTGCCCCGCCTCTCCCTCAGGGCGAGCGCACAGCTGCCCCACCCGAACAGAACGGGAGTGGCGAACTGTCATCCCGCACTTGAAAATGTAAATCCGAATCTAGAGGGGCCCCAGGCCACTGAGGAGAAGTGCCCCACCGCCTGCCCTGAGCCTCCAGGCACTGGGGAGCCCACACCTGAAGGAACCGGGCCGGGCTCCAGGGTGGGGGCACCCTCTGCCTGTGGTTCCTGGATGGCCTCCCTGGGAGGGCTAGGCTGCAGGGGCCAAGGCTGGGCCTGGAACAGCCAGGTCGCTTCCCCTTGGGCTAAAGGGGAGAGGCCAGTACCCGCCCTGCTCTGTCGGAGGAGCGTGTGCTTCGATTCTGTACTAGTCCCTCCACTACTCAGGGCCTAGGTTTCTCCCGGGTCACGTAACACCAGGAGAGGGTCCCAGGGACCTGGGGACTAGGCCCTCTGCCCTCCTTCCCACAGCCACTTCCATCCTCATCCACCTGGGACGTTCAGGCCAGAGCTCACGCAGCTGGGAAGCGGGGCACCACCCACGCTGTGCTTGCACGGATCCCAGCAGGACAGTGGGGGCGGCCGGTGAGGCACCCACAGCTCGGGTGGTGCAGAGCCCAGGGCCTAGACCAGCTCCCTCCCAGGTGCGCCTGGTGAGGCAGCGGGAAGGCTGCCTGGGAAGGGGCCCTGCCTGAGCCGGAGCCCCAGTGACAGACACGTGTGTCAGGCCAGGCCTCCCAGCAGGCCTGGCTTCAGGTGGCAGTTCCAAACCCCAAGCTCCCCGGATGCCTGCAGGAAAACGGAAGGGATCCTGCCCCTCCAGGGAGGGGATCCACATTCCCCAAGAAGCCGGGAGGGGGGGTTGGCCCCTGGACAGCTCCCAACCTGGGAGCCACCACCAGGGGGTGGGGTGAGGGGGGGTGGAGCTGGGGCCCAGGGAGGGCCAGCAGAGGAGGCTGATGCCAAAGGGAAGGAAAGGTGTGCAAAGTGCAGTCAGAGGAGGAGGGTGGAGGCAGCTAAGAGCTGGGTCCACAGGGGCCCCCTCCCCCGTTTCTGCCTCCTCTGGAGCCTGGCTTGGGAGAAATTCTCCACCGATTGGCCAGAAACTCTGGGGTTTCGACCCATTTTCAGGCTCCAGTCCTCGGTTTCCTGAGGCCTGACTGGGGAACAGTCTGGTAAATTTTTAAATCCCTTCCCACACATCTCGCCCCAGCACACGCGCTTCACCAGTCTCCTCTCTCCCAGAGCTGAAGGCCACAGACGGTGGGCGCTGCTCTGGGCTGGGGCACCCACCGCTGGCAGGCGCTGGAAGAAGCACTTGAGGGAGGTCAGAGCTGGACCAGCCCAGGGCACCCAACCGGCCCTCTCTCTGCCCAGAAGGCAGGGCCTGCCATGTCCGTCAACTCATTGCCAAATTCCTGATCGTTCAACCTGTCCCCAGTTCATACCTGTTGAATAAATTAACTCTCCAAGTAAAAGCAGGGAAATGAAAGAGGCCCAAACACGCAGATGCCCCACGCCAGCCCAGTCAGGCCAAAGCAGAGCCAGGACCGCACACGGACTCAGGGGACACTGACTTGGCCAGGCCTCTGTGAAGGTGTCCCCGCCGGAGACACGTCCCCGTGAGCCTAAGGGGCGTGTGGGGCCCACTCCCACACTCGCGTGGCGTCACCCCCCCAGCTAATAGGCGTAGGAAGGGGGATGGCAGGCCGGCGCCTTACGGTGCCCCCAGGCTAGCCCGACAGCAGGCGGCCCCGAGGCCCCAGCTCCGCCTAGAAGGTTGGAGGGAAGGGGTGGAGCCAGCCTCAAACTTCATGGGCTCAGGCTGGGGACCCTGCTCCGGGTGGGATGGGGGGAGGGGGAAGGGGTGAGGGACAGGCGCCCGGGGCCTCGGGAGAGGAGGGCGCAAGGAGCGGCGAGGCACCTTCCCGCCTGTCCCCGCCTCCGCCAAATCACAGTGCCGGTCCGGGGCCCCAGACCTCCCGTCCGAACGTGTCTCGAGGGACTTAAAAAAACACTTGCCCTCGTGGACAGTACCCTAGGCAACCTCGGGCCTGGTGTCTATTCACGCCCACGAGGCCCCGAGAGACGAGGAGACCCCGGGCAGAGGGCGAGTGCCGGGCCGCGCGCTCGCAGGTGGGCCGGCCTCGCATCCCGGACGCCTGGCTCCGGCGCCCGAGATCAGGAGCCCCGCGCACATTCCGCCCGCCTCCTTACCCCCTGCGCATCCAGCCAGGAAGTCGAGCGCCATTGCGGGGCTGGCCGTCCTTCCTCCACGTCCTTCTCCTCCGGGCCTTTGCTGGGCTGGTGGCCGTCGAGAGACCTCCGGCTCGCTGGGCTGGAGCTCGGTCTGGCCGCCGCCTCCTGGCGCAGAGCCCCGGTCAGACCCGGGGCGGGGGGCGGCGGCTCGGCGAACGACTCCCCACCTGGCGTAGCCTCCTCGCCGGCCGGCTCCCGAGCCCTCGAGGCGGTCCTCCTGCAGCCAGTGGTCCCTCACTTCGGGCCTTGCGTCCCGCCCCTCGGGCCGGCCAGCGGCCTCGGGCGGGGCGCGGAGCGCAGCCAATGGGCGGGCGAGGCGCGGACAACGCCCCGGTGCCTGCGCGCCGCCGCCGCTCCTCATTGGCTGGGCGTGCCCGGGGAGGGCGGGGCGCGGGGGGACGTCGAGAGAGGACGGGCGGGGGAGGCTCAGGGGCGCTGCAGACAAAGAGTGTGCTTCGTGCGCCCGCCCGCGCGCCGCTCGCGGCAGGCGATAGTCCGGGTGCGCGCCGAAGCGGGACTCGGGACCCCACACCCCAGACGCGGCCTGCGCGGCCCGAGAACCTCCAGCGTGTCGGCTGGGAGGGGCGTGGAGTGCGCTTGCTTTGGGCTGGGACCAGGAACCTGGGACCTGGATTCCGATCCCTACTCCGCCGCTGAGCAGCCGCGTCCTCGCCTGTATAGCGGGGACACTGCAGCGATAACGGACGCGGAGCGCCAGGACCGTTCTGGCCTACGGGCGCAGACGCAACTAAGTTGCGATTCTCTTCCGGCGGCGAATCGCACCCTCGGGCGCCTTCGCTCTCCCGCCGGCGCGCTCGCAGTGCGGTGGGCCTGGGGCTTCTGGATGCCCGGCCCACCACGCGGGGTCTCGGGGTCTGAGCGCTCCGCCGTTTCGGGCGGCGGAGAGAGAACCTGAAAAAGGAAGGGGGCCGGGGGCGCGGGGCGAAGGGCGCGGCCAGGTCCTCGGAGTCGTGCACCTGCCCGCGGACTGCGGGAGCCTCTGATGGCTAGGGAGCGGGGAGGGTCCTGCACGGGGCCGAGAGCTGCGGGGCGGAGCAGGCCAGGTCGCAGCGCGTCTCTCCGCGGCGGCCAGGACGCGGCGCGGCCGGAGGAGGCGGGAGCCGGACGGCGGCTCAGGGAGCGCGCTCGACTTCGGGCACCGCGGGTAGCTGGGCGGTGGGAGGAAGGAGTAAGTGGGCACCAAATCCACAGCCACCACCCGCACCCCGAGAGTCCTCGAGACTGGGCTCACTGCCTGGTTCCTGGGGACTGTCCTGCACAGAGACTTTCCCCACCCCCCTTCCCCAGCGCCCCATGTAGTCCGGACTGGCCGGTTGGGGCTGAAGCTTGGCTGGGACCTTTCTCCTTCACAGGGAGAGTCAAATAACAGCCAAGCCGGGGCCAACTTCCTTCACCCGGCTGCGGTCAGGATCACACTGCGGAGTTTCCGGGTTGCAGAGCACAGAGCCTTTTAACTCTCATTTTACCGGTTCTGATATCAGGGCGGAGACGACAATGGCTATACCCCATAGAGAGGCCTTAAAGATGATCTCTGTTTGGTACTAGAGGATACACATTAGGCATATGTGAGCAGTGAAGCACAGTGATACAGGGGCCGCCGGGAACCCAACCATCAATGCGGTTTTTGTTTCTTCTTCTTGGAGTTTAAATAGCACAGACATTAAGAAGAGACCCAAACCCAGGTCTGCTGACTCCTAGTCCAGTGCTCGTGATGGCTGGTGGGCCCTGAATTAGGGGTCTGGAGGCCTGGGTTTGAATATCGCCAGCCCCTCTGACCCAGCGCCAGGCCTCAGGGAGGCCAGGGAGAAAGAGGGTGGAAGAGTGGCCAATGAGCCGCAGAAGCAGTAGTACAGGGGCCGCAGAGGAAGCGTAGACTCCAGATGGCAGGAGTTGACCGTGGGGATCCTCAGGTGGCTGAAGGCCTCCGGACCGTGAGCATTGAGCTGGGCAGCCTGTATCCAGGTGACTCACCTCTAGAAAGCAGTGCCCCTGGGTGCCCCAGGCCCGAGGAGGTCAAGCGCCATGGCCTGTGGCGTTCTTTCCTGTGTTTGGAGGTTTGAGAGGAAGTCAAGTGTCTTAACCTTGCAATAAGTCAAACTATTATGAAACAGTTAAACAATGCATGTGCTTTTACTGTCCTGCTGGGGCAGTTTGCACGGGCCCTTGTACAGGTAGATGTAGATGGGAACAAAACCAACGCCATTTACGCGTCCCGGGCTGAAGTTGCAGCTGTGACCTCTGACCACCTCACTGTCCTCAGGGAGCTCCTCAAAGCCTCCTAGTTGATGATTACCCGTGTTCCTTAAAATGTGGACATGAGTGCTTTTGTCCATACCAACTGGATGGTATGACAACCAAGATAAACATCAAGCTGGTATTAGCGTCAGTTGTGAGCAATCATCTCACAAGACCGGGAGGAGGTGTATGGCCCCTGGCACCACTGCATTCTTTGTCCCTTTGTGCGGTCAGTCACCAGGACCTGAGCTGCCCTGTAACAGCAGCACTGTGCGGGGGGCTGGTAGTGAAGAAGCGCCCATGCAGGGTCGCCGGCGGTCAGTTCCACTCTGGCCCCGTCTTCCCACACGTCCGTGAGTCGCCCTGTAATAAATCCTATCCGTATTCGATGGAGTTGCCTGCTTTGTCTTTCGGTCTGAAGACACCTTCTGGCTCCGGTGGCCACTGCACCTCTGCCCCACGTGGGACCGTCCGACTCTCTGGGGCCCTTGGGAGGGGGCCCCGCTGCCTGGGCCACAGCAGGTGCTGGATAGCTGAGCTCTGGGAAGCTCCTTGGAGGGAGGTCCCCTGGGGCAGTCCCTGCAGGGGTCCAGGGGAGGGGTCAGGGCAGGTAGCAGGGGGACCCTGCAGAGCAGCTTAGCTGGAAATTAGAGGTGGGGCTGGTGCGGAGGGATCCAGTGTTCAGGCTGGGGCTTGTTGGGTTTGGGGACAAGGGACCAGTCTGTGGGGAACAGTGCAGGGTGGCCTCTGGGCCAGGGAGGAAGGGGCGAGGGCAGGCACTAGAGCAGGCAGGGTCACGTGGGCGCGCTGCTGGGTTACTAAGCTGTGAAGCCACATTTCTCCTTAAAACCTCTTGCTGAGGGGTCCTGCATCTCTGGGCTGTGGGAGACGGTCACCCAGCTGGCACGCAGAGAGTGACGGAGCGCTGCTCCGTGCCCAGTGTGGGAGCGAGGTAGACCCTCCTCCCTGAGCTCCACGGGCTCCCAGAGGGAAATAATAAAGTCACTGCCAAGTGCGTGAAGTGCCACATCTGCAAGTTTGCGTTATTATATCAGCAAGGGGTCCGTGCCCGCTGTTCTGGCTCATTTCCTGAGGATAAAATGACAGCACAGAGTGCTTTCTCAGAGTCCCCAGGTTCTCAAGAGCGCCAGGCACCCCCCTCCCAGAGGAGAGCCTCCCCTGGGCTCCTCTCAGGCCCCAGCCTTAGGGGCAGGAGGGTTCCAAGGTCAGAGGGTGGCAGGAGCTCAGCAAGTGGGGAGGGAGTGCCACAGGGGACCCGGGTCACGCCAGGTCACTGAAAAGTGCAGGGCGGAGTTTGTGCTTTGTGCAGCTTTTGTAATGTCTTACGGAAGATTAGGCTCGGCGTGGAAAATTAGGAACACTGGCAGGAAAAGAAAGTTCCTGTGTTTTCTTGTCCACCCTGTAACCTGTTGAGTTCAGTGAAGGGGCTGTTTGGACCTGGATGGGGGGGCCAGGCTGGCGCTCAGGGTGAGTGGGCAGCTCAGGGTGGATGGTGGGCAGGCCGAAGACCCGCTGTGTGGCCCCGGGGAGTTGGGCGGTGCAGAGGGCAGTGCACGGGCGGCCAGGGGCCTGCCATGCCAGAGCAAGGTACTCTGGCTCTCAGCTTTTGGCTGTCAACGCCTTTGCAGGAAACAAAATACAATTTCTATAATGTTATAAACCAACATCACCTCAACTTTAAAAAAGAGTTAATTAATCAGCTGACGTACTGATGGTTTTCCGAAGGGCATATTCCACCCTCTGGACCAGTGACGGAGAATCCGGGCCCCGGAAGGTCCTCTAACAGCGGCTAAAGATGCCGGCGCGGGCAGGTGGGGGGCTTTGTGGTGAGGAGCTGGGGAGCAGCTGCTGCCCTGCGGCCTGGCCTTGACCAGAGCCGGCTCGGCCCGACACCTCTCTGTCCCGGTGAAGAGCTGTTTGCTGTGCGGGTGTCTCTTTGGCGTCTCGTCAAGTCCACCCTGGAGTGATCTGGCCTCTCCACTGAGTGAGTCTGCTCTGGGCCTCAGAGATGGAGGGCCTGGGGCCGCCTGGGGACAGTCCCCCGCTGTCCTGGTGGCTCCTCAGCTCCCAGCCCACGGTGCCCAGAGGCCTCTCGTCATGTAGATTTTGAGAAATTCCCTTCTCTCTATTGAATTCAGTCAACCCCAAACTTGCCGCCATGCCGGGTGGGTTTCTTACATCTTCCTTCAGCTGGGAAGGCCAGTTTCCCCAGGGCTACCTGCCCAGGTGTGCTGAGGGCACCCCTTCCCTGTGCTCCGTGCTATTCGGAGCCCACGCGGCCTGCGGTGGGCCGGGAGGCCGAGGGGAGGCCAGCTCGGCCAGATGAGATGCCCAGAAACCCAAGATGGGCTACGACATAAACAAGCACTTGGCCAATGCTTCCAGTCTAAAAATAGAACTAAGGGGGGGGGCCTGCCTGGGCGAGTCCCAGACTGGCGAGAGCACCTAAGGGGAGGTCCCCAGCTTGGATCAGGCCTAGTCAGGACAGGAGGGTGCAGCAGAAAGAGTTTAGCCAACTGTCACAGACACAGCACGCTCGCTGGGCAGTTTAGTTGTCCCTGATACAGGCAGGCCTCACAGAGCCCACCCTCGGGGCAGCGCTGGGCTGGCGCGGGCCCCGGGGAGCCAGCCGGCTGCGCCCTCTCTAGGGGCACGGAGCACGGCCGGCCGGATGAGCGAGCTGCCCCTGGCTGACGGTGTGAGGACGCACCCGGGGGCCGTGGCCAGAGGGGGGCGGTGTGCCCTCACCTGAACCCTGGGCTGAGTCGGTAGGTGGAGCTGGAGTTGGCACCACCAGGAGGCGAGAGCAGGCGGGAGGGGTCAGGAGAAGGCAGAGAACGGCCTGTGCTCAGGCCGCAGGCTGGTCCCAGACACAGCGGGCGGGCAGGCCCCAGGGGAGAGCGGCCTTGCCTCCTGTCCCCACAGCGACTGGGGATGAGCCCGAGAAGGAGGTGGGTGCGCAGGTGCCCCGCGGCGAGACATTCCAGAACCACCGATAAAGAAAAGGAGCAGATTGCCAAGAGATACGGGGGAAAAAATATTCCTGTTTGCCCGCCTCCAACTGGGCGGCGGGCCCCAGGCCGGGGCGGTGGGGCTCTGGCTTCCTGTGGGGGCTATGTCTCTTCTATTTGGATATTTAAAATAACCGGTAGCCATTCCTTTCGTCCTAAACCGTGAACATGCGTTTAGGGTGTGTCAGGGTCCTCGTGGCACAGGGGCCAGCAGGGCCCAGCCCAGCGAGCCCAGCCTGCCCAGCCTGCCCAGCCCACCAGGGCCTCGCTTCCCAGAGCCCTTTGCGTGGGGCCAGGCTTGAGCTGTTCCTGAGAGGGCTGTCTCCCCCTAGAGGACAGTGTGGCCCTCCTGCTCAGGCTGGGTGGGGCCGAGCATGGTGGGGCTCCGCGTTGGTGGAAGAGGCTGAAAGCAGGCCTAACTGCTAACGCCCGTGAGCTTTCCCATTGGGAAGGGTGGCCCCAGCCGGCGACCATGGGCTCTGTCTCCCGCCACCCATGCAAGATTCAGCTCAAGTATTCCCCCCAAATCATGTGAGGCTCTCCGCAGAGAAGACTCCAGCTACCTGCTCAGCTACCCCAGGGGCCTCTCTGCCGTCCACTGAGTCAGGACAAGCCAAGTGTGAGCAGCTGGCTCTGCCCTAGGTCCATCCATCATCCACCCATCTACCCATTCTTCCATCAATCCATTCGTCTACCCATCCGTCCACTGCTCCCTCCATTCACATCTATCCACCCACCCACTCACCCACTCCTCCATCTGTCTATTCATCCATTGATTCATCTGCCCATCTACTCACCCATCTACCCACTCATCCGTCCACCCATCTATCCACATACCCACTCACCCCTCTATTTACTCCCCACCCACTCATCCATCCCTCCACCCATCCACGCTCTCATCCAACCACCCATCAGTTCACCCATTCATCCACCTATCCACCCATCTACCCACCCACTCACCCACTGATCCATCGGCCCACCCCCTCACCCTGCCATCCACCCACCCACTAATCCATCCATCAATCTGCCCATTATCCATCCGTCCGTCCGCACACCCACTCACCCGTTTATCTACCCCTACCCTCTCATCCATCCATCTATTGATCCATCCGCCCACCCACCCATCCATCCATCTACCCACTCATCCCTTCTTTCCTCATACATTTTATTCATCAGGCCTCCCCAGGGTGCCTGCCCTGTGCTGGGTGCTATGAACTCGGAGGCAAATCTGGCATGGCTCTGCCTACTGGAAGCTCCCAGCGGGGTGGGAAGGTGTTTGGACCTGCACAAAGCAGCCTAGACAGGGAGGTGGCATGTTTTCTGTTTCTGTAGTGGAGAAGGGTAGGATTTGGGCATGTTTGTTTGGGAGACAAAGGGCAGGTGAAACTGGGCTACAGTGACCAAGAGAACATGCTTGTCTCAAATGCCATCTTCGTGGGCGGCCTCCTCTAACGCCGCCCCCCTCATGCCCCCTGTGTCCTCCCTCCTCTGTGTCTCTTCCTGGCCCTTACCACCGTCTGGACACTTGTTTGTGTTGGTCACGCTGGCCCTGGGCCTGAAGCATGCCACGTGGCGGGCATGCAGTGTTTGTTGCATAAGGAGAGGGCATGGGCGGGACCAGACTGTTGTCCAGAGGGGAGGTGGTGCCGCTGGGGACTGTGCACATGGGAGGCACAAGTGGATCTGAACTTGAACTTCAGCAGTCTGACCGCAGGACTGGGTGCCTCACCTGGTGTGAGCTGCAGGCGGAAAGGCACCCAGGGCGATTTCTGGGGCCCTGGCTCAGGTGCCATGGGGTGAGCGGCGCGTACTACGTTAGATGCTCTGCAGGAAACATGGACTAAACAGGCCCCTGTCCTTTCAGTTAGGCAGCATTCTTCATGCTCCCCCATCGCCCAAGGCACTGGCTTCCCAAGTGCCGCATCTGCAAGTGAACCCGAGCACCAGCTCTCTTTGCCCTGCTCATAACTGGCCAGTCACCTCCTTCCTTCTGGGGCCTGTGCTCCTGTTAATGCAGCCTTTGCACTGGGCTGGCCACTTCTGCAGGGGCCTGCCTGGCGCTTGCCCTGGGCGGTCACAGAGGTGAGGCGTGTTCTACCCTCATTTCCTGGATGCCGTCATGGCGGCTCAGAAGGGTCAAGGGGCTTGCCCCGGGTCTCAGGGCTGACATGAGTGACAGAGCTGGGATTTGAACACAGGAGGCGTGGCTCCTAAGCAGCGTGAACTGCTTCTCTCTAAAGTCCAGGATAAGCACCAGGGCTGGCCTTGGATGGGCCACTGCCCGCCCTTTGCCCTCTGCTGTGGCAGTTGCCACTGGCAACTTGTGTCCACCACTCACAAGCGGCTGGGCAGGTGCCAGTGAGGCTGTCCCCTGTCAGCGCTCAGCCTGTTTGGGGCCGGCCTGCAAGTCCACCCAGCAGGACACGTGGCCCTTCCATGACAGGACGGCCTGGACCTGGTGACGTTTTGTTTTTTTTTTATGTTTTTTTTATTGTTGCTCAATTACAGTTTCCCCGTATTACTTTTTTTTTCTCCAATTACTATTAAGTTTTAATGTCAATAAGAACGGGACTATAATACAACTGAAATGCAGTGGTGAGCTAAGCAAGTACATTTAAAAATGAAGTCACAGAAAAGATCTTTTCATACTTTTTTTGTTTGTTTAAAGAAAATTATAGCCCTGGCTGGTGTGGCTCAGTGGACTGAGTGTCGGCCTGAGAACCAAAGGGTTGCAGGTTCGATTCCCAGTCAGGGCACGTGTCTGGGCCGCGGGCCAGGTCCCCAGTAGGGGGCAATGCGAGAGGCAACAACACATCGGTGTTTCTCTCCCTCTTCCTCCCTCCCTTCCCCTCTCTCTAAAAATAAATAAATAACATCTTTAATAAAAATAAAGAAAATTATGAAGTCAGCAAGCAGTTACAGATGAAGGAGCAAATAAAATAGGTAGATTGGATAGTTAAGATGAGGGACAAAAATACCTGTTTAGAGTTAAAAATGGACAGAGTGGTTTGTTTTGCAGGAGGAGAAAACAGGGTGGCAGACGGCCGCCGCCGGGACGGGAGAAGCTCGGCGACCTTCATGCCCCCAGCCTGGCATCTCCTCCGCTGCCGATGCCGTTTCCACTGTTGGGCCCTTCCACAGGGGTCTTGCGAAGGGTACCTTCAGGTCACGTGAGAAAGGCCTTTTCAATGTTTGTATTTGCTTTTGCGCTAGTCTCAAAAATCCACTACCATGCTCCTTGCAAGCTGCTCTCCTTTTCCCTCAGGTGCAAGTCTCTGCTCACCCATGTCACACTTGTTTCCTGGTGACATTCAGTCCACTGGGACTGGGGCGGTGTGGAGGGCATGGGGCGGACGGGGAGCTGTGACTGGTGTCCGTGCTGGTCCCAGGAGGCTCTGGCCAGCCTCCCGGGTGCCAGGGACCAGTGGTCCATGGTCCCCACTCCTTCCCCTGAGCTGGGCTCCTTGAGGACAGGCCTGTCCTGAATATGGTCTTTACTGGGACAGTGCTTTGAGGGTCCCTGGGGCAGGAGCGAATCCAGGGAAGTCAGGGAGGCCCGAGGACAGGCAGGAGGCCTTCGCAGCCCCATCCCGGGACCTCCCAGGAAGTGTCTGGTCGTGGCCTGGGGACCCCACCCGCAGGTGGTATGGGCAGTGGGCCTGTCTCCCGAGAGCCTGGAAGCTCCGTGGCCTCCCGCGGACTTCCCACAGCGGGGTCCTGGTCCTGAGGGCACTGGGACAAAGGGCCTTTGGGCGTGGGTGGAAGAGATTCCAGGTGGGCATCGACCTGCCTGCTTCCCAGCACGACCTCTGCTTTCTGGGTCGCTGGTCAGCAGGCCTCACTTCCGGTCCCCTGCCCCCCGCCGCAGCTATTTAAGGGCTGAGAGGCGCCGGCCAGCAGCTGCGGAGACCATCCTGGTGGTGGCGGCCCCAGACTGCGCTCGGGTGGGAGACCCCAGGGCCCTCCCCACCACCCGCATTGTCCATGGACTTTGTGGCTGGAGCCATTGGAGGTAACAGAGGAACAGCAGGAACTCATTGGCAGGGGACTGTGCCTCCTGGGGGTGCTGGGGGTGCGGGGGGTGCTCTCTGCCCTGGGGGGTGGATCCTGGCTGACGCGGGGTTGGAGGAGTCGCCCCAGAAGTGGCTGGGAGCTGGTGCAGGCCATGGGCCTGGGTGCCTTGCGGGCAGAGCTGGTTCCTGGGGGACTTGGGTAGCAACGCAGTCGGGGTGCACACTGTGGGGCGGTGAGTCCGCACTAGCCTGGGGGCTCAGCTCGGGGGTCGAGGGGCAGTTCCAGGGGTTGGAGGTGTTCGGGAGCAGAGGGTGGGCTCTGCCTGGGCCAAGTGGGGCCTGAGTGTGACCTGAACAGAGAGGGCTGGCTGGGCCATGGGAAGGACGAGAGGCCCGGGGGGAGGGTGGACAGCGAGGACAGGACACTGCCTGGCAGCTGCGGGCAGAGGAAGGGAGGCCGCTCCCTGCGCCCCGCCCCCCCCGCCCTTGGCCCGCCCCCAGCCCTCCCGCCCCCCCCCGCCTCCCCGCCCCCGCCCTTGGCCCGCCCCCAGCCCTCCCGCCCCCCCCCCGCCTCCCCGCCCCCGCCCTTGGCCCGCCCCCAGCCCTCCCGCCCCCCCCCCACGCCTCCCCGCCCCCGCCCCCCCCCCCCACCCGCCGTGTGTAATCAGCCTGGCTGGGCCCTTCACTGTTCTCACTTCTGGGGAAAGGGCTCGTTGGGAAAGACCCACCCAGATGGGTGACTGCCCTCCGGGAAACGGGCTCAAACAGGGCTCGGGGTCCGCCCAGCCATCCCCCCTGCCGGCTGCGGAGGCTGCTTCGGCCAGCACCCTTGGCCTCGCTTATCATGTGCAACCCCAGAGAGCTCCTCGGCCATACCTAAGGGAACAGTGAGGGGGAGGGGCTCACTGAGGTCCTACTGTGTGCAGGGCCTGAGGCCGGCTGCTGCCCTGGACCCGAGTCCCCTAAGGAGGAGGCTCAGAGAAGGGGCTTGGCTTGCCCAAGATCACACAGCCGGGAAGGGCCCCTAAGTCCTGCGTGTTCCCTCCAGGGCCACAGGAAGCCTGCATGCAAAGGGCCCCGCTCTGTGCAGGTCCCAGGTCACGAGGACCAGGTGTGGGCCGCGTCCTTCAGGGCCTCCAGTGCTAGAGGCAGAGGCGGCATGCTGTGGGACAGCAGCCAACCACGCGGCAGGGCTCTGGTCGACAACGCCCGCGGCTCCAGGCAGCCCTTCGTGAAGCTACCCCGTCTCCCAGCCCCTTCACAGCCTGAGGCTTGAGGGCTGGCGCTGCCTGGCTTGGGGGCCCAGCAAGCGTCGACCGCTTCTCTCAGAAGTTGACACTAGAGGGCAGGTTGGAGAGCACCCTTGGCTCTCACAAGGAGGCACCTGTGGCCCAAGGCTCTCCGCAGGAGCAATGGCCGGCGGCTTGTCCGAAGTCACTCTAGCTCTCTGGGCCTCCGTTTCCTCCTTTGCAAAACGGGGTGGCTCTCCTGCCCAGGAGACGCTATGTGGACGAGGAGTGTGGGTCTGTCTCCTTCCTCCCTGCTCCCGCGTCCTCACCCATTCCTCTGCTTTCCTTCCAGGCATCTGCGGTGTTGCTGTGGGCTACCCCCTGGACACAGTGAAGGTGCGGCCACGGTCAGGCCCTGCCACGCGTCCCAGGGCCCCTGCCTGCTTGCATGGGCCCCTCGCAAGTCCCCTGCCCCCCAGTCCCTGACCAGAGCAGCCTTGTAGCACACTCACCTGACCCAGCCCTCCCCACCGTCCTCGGGGCTGTGCTCGCCCTCTTCCAGCCTGCACCTCAGGCTTCTCTTCTCACAGGGTGCCCCCGCCCCCATCCCTGCTCTGCCCTCCGTGGGCTTGGCCGCGACCCCGGAGGAGGAGGCCCTGCCCCTCCCCCAGGCCGCCGAGCAGCCGCAGGCCTGCTGCCACCCCTTCCTGAAGCCTGCTTCCCCTGCAGGTCAGGATCCAGACGGAGCCCAAGTACACCGGCATCTGGCACTGTGTCCGGGACACGTATCGTCGAGAGCGGGTAGGCCAGGGACTGGGTGACGGGCGGGGATGTCAGGGCCTTGGACCCCCGACCTGCCACTCACCAACACGCCAGGCGGTGCTCAGCCCTGCCCTGAGCCTCCCTTCTCACACACAGCACGCAGGCGATCAGAATGAAGTCCTACCTCCAGCAGAGGGTCTAGAGGTGGCTTTGGAGGTCTGGGCAGGGGGCACCCATGTGTTTGCATTCCTATCCCCTTCAGGCTGGGCACCAGCAGTGCTGGGTGGGGGGTGTCGGTCCCCAGGGTCCAGGTCAGAGGCCTGTCTGGAGGAGGGACACAGGGACATTTACAAAGGAAGTTGGGGCCTGGTGCTGGCCCGGGGCCAGCAGAAGGAAGACAGCCGCCGTCACGCATGCTCGTTCACCATCCTCATCATTGAATGGCTGCCCGGGCCCAGCCTGGCCCTCTGTCTTGTTTGTCCCTCATCCCCACGTGCCGGGACCCCCATTTCGCAGCTCAGGCTCCTGAGGCGCGAGGCTACGAGTGACTCGCCTGAGTCCCGCAGCCAGGAGGGCCTGCAGGGACGAGACAGGGCCATCCCTGGTCCTCCTGGTAGGACCTCTGGCCTGACTCGGGCCCTTGGGTCCCCTCCCCTTCCTACCAGGTGTGGGGCTTCTACAGGGGCCTTTCGCTGCCCGTGTGCACGGTGTCCCTGGTCTCATCCCTGTCGTTCGGCACCTACCGCCGCTGCCTCTCACACATCTGCCGGTTCCGCTACGGCAGCGCCGACGCCAAGCCCGCCAGGACTGATGTCACACTGTCAGGCTTCGCCTCTGGCCTCGTCCGAGTGAGTGGGGCGGGCGAGGGGTCCCCGGGACGGCAGGGGTGGGCCAAGGCTGGGAGGGCCTGAGAGGTCACGAGGCCCAGAGGGCAGGGACACTGAGGCTCTATGAGGGCAGAGGCTGGACGCAGGCTGGGGGACTACGGGTGAGGACTCAGCTGACTCCCGTTAGCCGAGGGAACGGCGGACCCTCGGAGTCTCTCTGACCCTCTCACTCTTCCCCAGTAAGTGGCATCATGGTGAGAATTACGTGAGGTCATGTGTAAAGTGCCCAGCACAAAGTATGGCAGGTAGGAGTCCCCATGCAATGGCAATGTTACATCTTTTAAAAAAATTATTACTATTATTTTTGCCCTGGCTGGTGTGGCTCAGTGGACTGAGTCCGGCCTGTGAAACAAAGGGTCACGGGTTTGATTCACAGTCAGAGCTCATGCCTGGGTTGCAGGTGCCCAGTAGGGGGCGCGTGAGAGGCAACCACACATTGACGTTGCTCTCCCTGTTTCCCTTCCCCTCCCTCTGAAAATAAGTAAATAAAATGAAATAAATTACTTTTTATTTCACCCAAAGACATGCTTATTGTTTGATTTTATTTTTTGAAGATTTTATTCATTTATTTTTAGAGAGAGGGGAGGGAGAGTGAGAAGGAGAGAAGCATTGATGTGCGAGAGAAACATCAACTGGTTGACTTTTGCATGAGCCCTGACGGGGGAGCGAACCCCCAACCCAGACATGAGCCCTGACCGGGAATCAAACTGGTGACCTTTTAGTTTCCGGTAGGACGCCCAACCCACTGAGCCACACCAACCAGGGCTCATGTTACATCTTAATGTTACTTAATACTTACATTGCTTTATTCGTCTTACATTAAATGCTTACATTAATTAAATATTACATTAATATGCCATTAACAAGTTAATTATGTGATCAGATGCTTTCACGAACCGGAGCCTCAGACATTTCCCCGGCGCCTGCCGTGCGCCGAGCCCACTCTGTGCTAGAACGAGCGTGCAGGTGAAGAACGCCGGCTTTGGCGTGGCGGGCAGAGCCGGCTTCGAACGCAGCTCCACCAGGGCCGTCGGCCAGCTCGAAGTTGCTTGGGGCCCAGGCTCCCCGATGTCACCGTGGGGAACCGGAGGCTGGCGGGGACCAGGCGCAGGGGTGTGCGGGCACTGCGGCTGCCTCCTCATTGCTGCAGCGTCTCTGCTCCAGGTGTTCCTGACCTCGCCTACTGAGGTGGCCAAGGTCCGCCTGCAGACGCAGACGCAGGCGCAGGCGCAGACGCAGACGCAGCAGAGGCGGGGGTCCTTGGCTTCGGCGGCGGCGCCCCCCGTGTGTCCTGCGCCCCCCGCAGGCCAGGTGCCTGGGCCCAAGTACCGCGGGCCGCTGCACTGCCTGGCGACGGTGGCCCGTGAGGAGGGCCTGCGGGGCCTCTACAAGGGCAGCTCGGCCCTGCTTTTCCGGGACGGCCACTCCTTCGCCACCTACTTCCTCTCCTACTCCATCCTCTGCGAGTGGCTCACCCCCGCGGGCCACAGCCAGCCAGGTGAGCAGGGGTGCGGGCGGGGGGCCTGGGACGGGGCGGAGCTCGGCCAGCGGGGATGGAGTCACGTGCCCCTTGGCCCCCCTGTGCCTCCAGGGTGGGCACCTCAGCGCCCTCCACACGGAGGGGCTGGACTGAGCTGCTCTGTGTGGCCCTGGAGGAGTCACGTTGGTGGAGTGAGCCGGCGTCTCCGCTGCGGCTGGGCCCCGCCCGTCCTCCTCTGGGTCCGCTTCCAATCAAGGCGCTCCCTCGCGGCTCTCCCCTGCAGATGTCTTGGGCGTGCTGGTGGCCGGCGGCTGTGCGGGAGTCCTCGCCTGGGCCGTGGCCACTCCCATGGACGTGATCAAGTCTCGCCTGCAGGCGGACGGGCAGGGCCAGCAGCGCTACAGGGGCCTCCTGCACTGTGTGGTGACCAGTGTGCGGGAGGAAGGGCCGCGGGTCCTGTTCAAGGGTCTGACGCTCAACTGCTGCCGCGCCTTCCCCGTCAACATGGTGGTCTTCGTCGCCTACGAAGCCGCGCTGAGGCTCACGCGGGGCTGCTCAAGTAGTGGGTCCCGCCGCCCCTAGGGCCGAGCTGCGGGCAGCTTCTAGAGGTCGCAGTAGCTGGAGGAGGCAAATGGGCGTTGCCCTACTAGATCGTCACTCAGGACAGGCAGGAGCCACCCCGAAGACAGTCAGCTGGGGCCTGGACGTTGCCTGCCCAGCTACAGACCTAGGAAGCTTCAGGGGCCCATCGTCACCAGTGTGGTGTTGGCCCTGAGGGTCACAGGAGTCAGGGAGGCGCAGCCTTGTGGATGGGCACATCCATCTCCTGGAGTCGTGGGTGCAGGTGGTCAGCTGTTCCTTCCGGCCTCCGTCGCCTCTCCCCACCACCCACGTCCTCAGAGCCCCCCTGCGTCCACACAGCCACTCTCTCCTCCGCTGCCCTCCTGGCCACCCACCCTCAGCCCCACTCAGCTCTGCTGTGAGCGGGTGCTCTTCCCCCACCGTCCCTTCGGTGCAGCTCAGTGGGCTCCCCCGTCCCCCGCCCTGGCCGGGTTCCCGGCTTGGGCTGCCCAGAGGGGCCCTGGGAGCTGGGGAGGGCGGGTCCTGCACCCCCGCTCTGCCTGCAGACTCGGACGGGGACTGTGGTCAATTAAACATTTCTGAGGACCTTGAGTGGTGCTGCTCTGTGGACTGGTGGCCAGTGTCCTTGCCTTCGAGTCATCCTCAGAGGCCTAGCCCTCCAAACCCGCGTGGCCAGCGCTCCCACTGTGCGAATGGCTGGCTCTGCTCCCTTGGCCTTCGGGTTGGGGGCCTGGCCACAGGGGCCACTCAGCACCTAGCGTGAGACCTGCCCTCCTCGCCACCCTCCTCGCAAGTCCATCCCTCGTCTGAGCAAAGCCGGGCTCCCGCCTGCTCTGGCCAGCTGCCTGGTCCCGCCATTGCCTGGACACTAGGCTGCGAGCCGCCTCGCCATGGGGGCCAGGAGGAGGGCGGGGCCCGTGTGTCCAGAACCCTGCTGGGTGCCGGGCACCCGACACGGCTCATCACAGCAGCCTGACGCCAGGTGAGGAAACAGCTCAGTGACGAGCTGGGCCTGCTCGTGGCCACGCGGCCGGGAGGGTGGGGGCTCCTGAGGCCCAGCCCTCTCTCTGGCTCCGCATGCCTTCTAGGGACGGGCCGTTGGGGGGCCAGGGCCAGCAGAACCGTCACTCGGGAGAGCGGGTCCGTCTGCGGCTGCGGGCTCCAGAGTCCAGGGCCTGGAGCTCCCTGCTTGCTCTGGCTCTGAGGCGCTGCCCTGGACGTGTGCTCCCCCGACTCCTCAGCCGCCTGACCCCCACTCAGCCATCCACGGCTGTGCAGGGTGCCCTCTCTGCAGATCAGCTGATGTCCCCACCAGACTGGGGACTGAGGCGCCTCGAGGTCTGAGGAGGGGACATCAACAATCAGATCTTCTGGCAGAAGCCCTGCCCTCGGGGGCGGAAACCAACCTTGGGGTGACCCCCGGACACCTGCTGGGCTGTCCTCACACCTGTCCTAACCCTGGGGTCCCAGGGGACTTTAGAACCCACGGGTTTTAGCCAAAGGAGGTCAGGACAGGCCTGCTCTGTCACAAAGTCTCTGTGTGGCCTCGGACAAGCCGCAGCCCTCTTTTCCAACCACAGCTTCCCCACTTACTGGAAGAGAGCGGGCAGGCAGAGTGAGCCCAGGTCCACTCCGTCTGGGCGCTGCCCTGGGCCCCGGGGGAGTGGGCCCAGCCCGCTCGTAGCCTGGCCCTGTGATGACGCAGCCCAGCCTCTGAGCTTGGCTGGCTCCCCTGGGCGAAAACCAGGACCCTGCCTGCGTTCCCCCCAGCCTGTGGGAACACGAGGTGTGAGGACCCAGGCCCAGATGGCTGCAGATTCCTGGGCGCCTGCGTCTCTGCACCCGGGGCTCCCAGGACAGGGATGTCGCCCACCTACATCCCCAGCTGGGCCCCTGGGGCACTCAAGGGCCATCCACGGAGGGGCTCCAGTGCTTGGCAGCAGACACCAGGGGCCTGATATGAGGCCTCTGTCCCACCCAAACCCTGGACAGCACAGCCACACAGGCGGGAACAAAGGAAGTTTATTTATGCCAACAAGCAACACGGGGGTAGAGCGCTCGGGGCGGACCCTGCGCCTCCTCAAGGGGCTTTCCCAAATGCCCGGGCGCATGGCTGAGGGCCCCGGGGCTGCTGCGTGTGCTGTAGCCACATCCACCCACCCCTGCGGACCTCCACGCCAGTTAGGTGCCAAGACAACAGTGGCTGCAAAGGTGACAGGCCCTGCCTGGCTTTCAGCTGGGGGTGTGCGCAGGGCTGCGGGTGGAGGCCCACAGCGTCAGGAGGGGCGGGGGGGGCGTGGCTTACGGAGAAGGCCTGCGGTCCAGAGAAAGGGAACTGGACGTCTCTCCCTCTCCCACAAAGGTTCCGTTTAATAAAGGTGGCCAATGTGAGCTGACACTGTGTTAAGAGAGGCTTTCAAGCTGGGAGGTCTCTCGGTCAGGTGCACAGGTCAGCTTCTAGCTGGCGATATTTTTGGTTTTAGGGGGATGGGCTGAAGTGCTTTTGTGCCTGTTAAACTCCCCCACCTCAACTTTCCAAAGTACTTTTTGGTTTTCTAATAATGGCATTTGGATTCCAGATATGCACGTGGAGACCCCAGGTTCTTTTACCGGCAGGCTTTAAGAGCCTGTGTGGAACCGCAGGTGTTTTCGGGCCAGAGTGGGCTGGCCACGGACGCTGGCGCCCCAAGCTCTGCGTCCTGGGTTTGCCTTGCAGGGGGGCCTCCAGTGGGACCTCCTGCCTGACCACGCCCCGCCCTGTCTCCCTGGTGGCTCGCAGTTTCGCCCATAGGAGACAGCAGGGACAACATTCGCAGGGAGAAAGGGCACCAACAGACACACAGGCTCACAGGCCCAGGCCCGAGTCACCGGGGGCAGGGCCTGGGTGGAGTGGGGACGGCACTGGGCAGGGGGTTGGCACAGGGCGCGCAGGTATAACACGGGCGCTACTGGAAGTCGTAGAAGAGCTTGCGGGGAGTCATGAACTCTTTGACGATCTCATCCGTGACCGCCTTGCGCCGCGCCTGGTGCTCCGCGACCAGGGGCTGCAGGACCTCGATGAGCTCCTTCTTCAGCTCGCCGGTGAGCATGGCTCCGCTGGTGTAGTCCTGCCGGGGAGAGACCCATCAGAACCGGCCTGCCCGCCCGCGCCGGCTCCCGGCCGAGGACCTGAGCCCTGAACGGCGCTTTCCTGAGCATGGGACTCGGTCCTGACCGGAGCGCGGCCGAGCCCTCGCGCGTCCCCTGACCTCCTGCCTCCTGCACAGCATCGCTGACTGCTTTCCCCTTTCTGACCGCGAAGGAGACACGCACCCACTGAAAAGGCTTCCTGCCGGAAGCACGCACACCGCACAGCAGCGCAGCAGCCAGGCCGCGGGAACTCGCCCGCCCGCGCCCAGAGGGAGGCTGCTGCCAGCATCGTGGCGCAGTCTTAGGTTTCTCTCCAGCGCACTGCGCTCCCTGCGTGTCCACTTTGGTGCCCTTTTGTCACTGCTGCGGGACGTCACCCCGTGTCACTGAGACCCTGCCTGCACGCCCCCACCCTGTGACAGGCCCTGGTTAATGGCGCCTCTGCCGCTCGGCCTGTCCTGACCTTCTGCAGCTGTCACCCTGGACGTCTGTGACCCGGGAGCTCTTTATCAGTCAGGGTTACGTCCTTGGGAGAGATCCCTCGGCCCGGAAGCCCGAGGCAAAGCTGGGACTGCTGTGGGGGCTCCCCGTGCCCTCAGCCACACCGCTGCTGCGGCGGCCGTGCCGGGGCACGCGGCCCCTCTGGTGGGGCCGGGACGCGGTGGGCGTACCGTGGGGTGTACAGTCGTGGCAAACGCGGCCGCGGCGCACAATGCCACGCCGCGGCAGGGAGCCGCCTTGACTTGGGCGGTGGTGTCCTGACTTACTGCTCTGATGACAGTATGACAGAGCCCTTCCGCGTGGTTACGAACTGAACAGCACCTTGCGTCCTTTGTGAGTATCTATTCCTGAGGTTTTCCAGGCACATGGTTACAGACCCACCAACCTACTCCATTTTAGTCTCCGGTCTCACCTTCCTGATCTGCTCCAGCTTGTCATCATCCTCCAGGAAGAAGGTCAGGTACATGAAGGACACGTCTACATCGCAGTTACCCCCAAACTCCCTGTGCTCCTCAATGGTGTCTCTTCCTCCAGAAAACGCGTGCTTGTTGACCTGCATCGGCAAGAGACAGACTCGCTAGCCGCTTCAAGCTGCCCTGCCAGGACCCAAGTGCCGGACGTCAAGCCAGATCTCGGCCAGAGGGAGGCTGGGCTCAGGGACAGGCGGGAGCCCCCCAGCCGGCTACTTTCTGCTGATTCCGGGCCCCAGGAACAGTGGGGCTCCCTGCAGGGAGGGGCCGAGGAGGGCGGATTGACTCAGCACTCCCTGCTCCCCAGAGAGCAGAACGGAGTGAGGACAGCTGAAACGTGGGGGAAACGCCCTACAGTGTTCTCAGGACGAGCTTCGGAAAGAGGACCAACACAGGCCATCCTTAGGGTAAGAGAGCCAGGGAAGGGCGGCCAAGCCCCGGGCCAGTGGGGCGTCACAGGGACAGGGCGCCGCAACCCCTGAGCCTGGCCGCTGCCTTTCCTCCCAGAAGAGAGTGGCAGGCACGGGACCGCGGCTCGGGGTGGAAACTGGACCCGCGACCGGAGCAGAGGTGGAAGGCCTGCGGGCAGGGCCCACCTGGCACTCTCAGGAGCTGACGACAGACAGGCTCACAAATGCACTTCAGGGACCACCGAGGAGACTCCTGAGAAATCAGGGCCATGGGGGTGAGAAGAAAAGCCAAGGAGGGTAGACAGAGTTCCTCCAGCGTTCTTTCAATGACCATTGGGGAAGCTTGCTATGTACCAATGACACCCTATTTTTTTTAAAGGGAAACGGGATGGGCCGAGTTGGTAAACTCAGCGGAGATGTTTTGTGGGGCTCCCTAGGGCCCCCCGGGCAGGCCGCTGACAGACGCAGCAGACCTGTCGGGCAGCGAGGCGAGGGGAGCCCGTCCGTGGCAGGTGCCCCGCGAGGCTCCGCCCCTGCACAGGCTGCGGGGGGCTGGTGGGCGGACCCTTCCCTTTTCTTAACAAAAGAGGAGCAAGTCATAAAATCCATGTATGTGAACTGCAGAAACTGTACAATACAAAATACAACAGGAAGAAGAGAAGCCGCCACGCTCTGCGCTCTCCCGAGGCCTCCGTGCCCGTGCGCAGGCGCGAGTGTCAGCTCCCGGTCTGCAGGGCCCCTGTCCGCCCCAGGGCACCCTCCTGGGCACAGGCGCCCAGGCCAGGCCAGCGCTGGGCCTCAGGGCAGCGACTCCCCTGCTAAGAAGTCTAGAGAGCAGCATCCCCCAGGCTGCCAGGGTCCTGGGCCGGTCCCCGGCCCTCGTCTGGGAGTTTGCCAAGGCGCACGGCGCCACCTGCCACCTGGACAGACCCCAGTCCGGCAGCGTCACACTTGGTCCCCAACGCCCTGGGCAGCATCCACTGACCTCACAGGTGAGGAGAGCGAGGCCTGGACGCCCGGGCCCTGCTGTGCGTGGCACTGGGTGGCGGAGCCAAGTGCCCTGCCCAGGACCCCAGGCTGCTGAGCGGCTTCAGTGGTCCTGGTGGTGGCCCTGGCCGGTGCTCAATGACACTGGGGGCCAGCTTACAGGAAACCAGCAGGAAAGCAGGTCTGGGTTCGGCGGGGAGAGGTTGGCGGGGCCAGGAAAGCCACTGCCAGGGCCTCGGACGCGGGGAGCGAGCGAGAGGCATCTAAACACAACTGGGCCGTGGGACCAGGGGCTGACCCACCCACTGAGAGCCAGTGAGCTCCTGCTGCTCCCGTCGAATGGGAAGGCCGGGTGGGCGACAGAAGCCCCAAGACACAGGCCGGGACGGGCCACTGGTCAGGAGCCGGAGCCAGCTCGGGGAGCAGGGTGCGAAGGGCCCCGTGACCGGCCATCACGAGCGGGCAGCCAGACGGCAGACTGGGCCACGAATGTCTGTGCTACAGGAGGAGACCCCCACTCTGGGGGGGCCTGCGGGGGACGCCTGAGTCGGTGGGGCGCCGATGGGCCGTGGGACACCGGCCTGCCCTGCACAGGAGCTGCGCACCCACTCACTGCGGGACTTTTGCATGCGACCTCGGGTAAGCCCTGCCTTGTCTGCGAAGGGGACAACTGCGCCACGTCACAAAGGACACCTGGACAGCCGAGGTCCCGCCCCAACAGACGGCAAGAGGCAGGGCCAGCCAGCGGCAGATGGGGGCCACAGTCCTGGCCCTGCCGCTCCCAGGGGCGAGCCCGGGCAGCTGCCAGCCCTCGGAGCGCGGCTTCTTCGCCGCACGGCGGGTGCCGCCTCCCAGGTTGGGTGGATGCGTGGCAGGTGACTGCATGGCCGCGCCCCCGAGTCCCAGCGCGGTTTCTGCTGTGACTCCTGACCAGCGGCAGGTGCCGCAGGGTGGGACTCGGAGCTGACGGTGCGTGTGAGGACTGAGAACGAAGGCCGCCCCCGTCCCGCCGCACCCAACCCTGGTAGCCTCGGCGGCCTGGGTGCTCCCTGACCTCGCGCTCCCTGCCCGCCCGCCCTCTGGGTCTTTGCGGGCCCCTAAGTGAGTGACAAATGCCCTACAGCCAAAAATGACTGTTCAAATAACATCTTGAAACCAAAACAGCAGGCGGCCTCGCCTCCTCCGCTGCGTGGCACAGGCGTTTCCTCTCCTCCCCCCGCACGCCCACTGGGCGCCTCGGCCAGAAGGAAAGGGAAAGTGAAAGCCTGTTTGCAGCAGCTCCAGACGAGGGGGCCGCTGGTGGCGGCCACTCCCTTGAAGAAGCCCTCAGGGTGAAGAAGGCTCTCCTGCTGTTACCCAGGGCCTCCCGGGGACTCTCCCGAAGGCTCAGGGGCCCAGGCGGCTGTCGTACACGCCTCAAACACCGTTTCAGCCCCCCACTGTGGCCTTCCAATCTGCAAACACATTTGGTTTCTCATAAAACATCAACAGCTTTGTGAGGCCACTCGGTACCAAGCAACAGAAGTGCACCCTGAAAAGTAAGGGAGCTCAGGCCAATTCCTGGTTCACACGTCTTTGGTGACTCAACAAACCCTGCCTGAGAGCCCACCGCCCGCCAGGCCAGGTGGGGCTGTCCCGCCGAAGGGCACCCACCAGTCCTGGGCCCCAGTGAGCACTCGGGGGGAAACCAGCCTCCAAGCCCCGTGTTGGGGGCGGCTGCTCACGGGTCAGGAGCTCAGCAGGTTCCAGGGGCAGAAACGGGGCCAAGCTGGTCGCCCCCGGGCCTCGTCCTTCTCCTCTTGAAAAGGAACACACCATGCTCTCCCAAGAGGGAATTAAAAGCCGTGAACTGGGTCCCTGGCCTGGCTCTGGAATACAGCTCCCACTCAGAAGCACAGTGAACGGTTTCCCACGGCTGAAGCGGAACTCTGGTGCGGCGTGTGCGGGCCTAGGCCTGCGCGGCTGCTCACACAGGCGGCCTCCCCGGGGCCGCACTCACCTTGTCCTTGATCTGCTTGGCCGTGTCTGTGAGGAAGATGGAGGAGTTGGGGTCGCTGGCGCTCATTTTGGTCTGGGCCCCCTGCAGGGCAGGGAAGAAGGTCGAGTGGAGCAGCGCAGGTTTGGGATAGCCGATCCTGGGGGCGACGTCCCTCGTCATCCTGAAGTAAGGATCCTAGGGCAGAGGGAGGCCGTTTGAGGACGGCGGGGGGGCACATCAACGACACCCAAAGGGCCTTCACAGCAACCCCCCCGCTTCCAGTTGGCTCACGGAGCCGATTCCCACCCAAAGCCGTTCCCAGCCGCCTTCCCGCCGGCGGGCGCAGGCAGCCCCCACAACACCCCGCCCTGCCGCGGACCTGGTCGATGGCACAGGGGATGAGGCACTGGACATCTGTCTTGTCTCCGAAGATCTGGGGGAAGGAGTTGCTGAAGGAGGGAGCAGCCTGGATGGCAGGAAAGCTGATCTTCCCTGAGAGAAGGACAGAGGGGCTTTGACGCGAACCCAGTCCTGGTCCGGTCCACTACCCCGGGGAAGGATGGACCAAAACAGGCTTCCCCCCACGAGGAAAGGAGTCATCATTAAAGCAAATCTGAAAACTACAGAAAAGGAGAAGAAAAATCTGTGGACCCAATTTGTGTCTCTTTTCATCTGTTCTCTATTTCTACGCATTTTAGTTGTGATTATACTCTATTTTCTTTCTTTGCCTTTTTCGCTTTGTGGTGTTGACCCAGGCTGTTGTTGAATATGTTACGTCTTGTAAACGTATCACCTAGCATCTAGCTGTTCTCAGCCCACTGGGCTTTCAGGTGGTTCTCACCGTTTAATTATTCTAAATGACACTGCCTCGGCACATAGTGCTGTCTTCGGTAATTTTGGGTATTGTTAATACTGCTGCTGTCACTTGCTGAGACCTGCAAGGGTGGGATTTCTGGGTCCAAGGGCACGGACCTCTATACCGCCCTTGACAAGTGGCGGCCAGTCCGCCCAGCCGCGGCGCTCGGGCAGTGGGTACCGGGCTCACTTGGGGGCATGCTGCGAGCAGGCGCAGGGGCTCCGAGGCCGCCTGTGCCCTTCCTGCTTCCTTCTAGCCCTTAAAACGGACGACCGAGGGACAGACTGCGACCCTTAAGTACAGCTCCAAGCGCCAGGACAGTGGCCGAAGGAATCAGCTTGGCCCGTTTGTTCCGAGAAAACTCACTCGGGGTTCACTACTTAAAGAGACGAGGCCACGTCAGCTCCCTGCCCTGCTCCCTGCTGTGGGCCGGGCCCAGAGCAGGCAGCGGCGACTCCTTACCGATGGAGTCACTGTCCGAGAAGCCGAAAATGCCCTTCACTTGGTTGAAGGTCACGTGCTTCTGAATCTTCACCACATTCCTGTAGAAGCCTGGGCTCGACCTGTGGAGACAGTCAGAGTCAGACCCGAGACACCGGGCCTTCGGCAGAGGGCCAAGTGGCAGGGGGCAGAACTGGCAGGGGCCACACCAGCAGGGGCCACAGACTGGGGAGGGAGGTGCCCAGTGGCTGCAGCCAGCAAAGGCACCCACAGCTGGCCATGCAGACACGCCTCGGCCTGCGAAGTGGCCCGGTATGCACACAGACCAGGGGAAACCACCAGAAGACAAGCAACAAGCAACAAGCAACCGTGGTCGCCCACAACCAGGCCCTGACTTCGAGGCTGACAGGAAGTGTTCGCTGCTGTGGGGCTCGGAGGCTGACTGGGCTGCAGCGGGAGGCCCCGCCCCACCGCAGCCACCTGCACACCAGGCTTCAGCTCCTGCCCAGGGGCAGGTTGGGCGGCGGCCCCCCGCGGTGGCTGAGGATGAGTGCACCCCAGGAGAGGACACCTGCCCTCCACGCTCCCCAGGCTGAGAGGCCATGTCCCCGGTCAGCCCCCGGGCTGGGCTGGGCAGGGTTTAACGGGGAGCGGCCCCACGGAGCGTTCCGGGAACACCCGCCAGGGCAGGCACCGCTCGGAGCGCGTCACGGTTAGCACCTCAGTGGCCTCCATGAAGCCCTGCGCACAGACCCCTCCTGTCCTCATAGCACAAGCGTCGCCCAGTCTACTCTCAGACCTGCCCAACTGCCCGGTTAGAAGGTGGCCCAACAGAGTGGGGGTCGCTGTCTGGCCGCTCCCGCATCCCAGCAGTAGCCTGCACGCAGCAGACGCTCAGGACGCCTGCTCACGAACGGGCCGGGCCAGCAGGCAGAGGTGTGAGCACGCTGCCCACTCAGCAGGAAGTGGCGGTCAGGGCGTGGATACGGGCGGGGTCAGGTGCTGCCCCTCACCCCATGTAGTCGAGGTCGGAGAAGATGAAGGTCTTGTTGATGTCAAAGCCGCAGGCGATGATGTCCTTGGCGTTCTCCACGGCGTAGCCGTAGGCCTGGTCCAGGGTCAGGTCCTTCCACAGGTACTTCTCGTCGTCCGTCATCTGGATGACCAGGGGCACGTTAAACACGTCCTGCAGCCACCTGAGAGATGCAGGGGAAGAGGCTGACGTCACATTTTCCCTGCAGAAAAATGCTAATGGCACCGAAACACACAGCTCCTACGGTCACCCTGACCGGTGTGGCTCAGTTCAGTGGGTTGAGCATCATCCCGCAAAGCAAAGGAAAGGTCACTGATTCAACTCCTGGTGAGGGCACATGCCTGGGTTGTGGGTTCGGTCCCCTGATGGGCACGTACGGGAGGCAACCGATCGATGTCTCTCTCACATCGAGGTTTCTCTCCCTCCTTTCCCCTCTCTCTAAAAGAAATAAATCTTAAAGAAAACCTCCCTGTCTACAGAATCACAGGAGCGTAGCCCGTGTGAACATGGTCGCTGGTAATGAGAAGGCCGCCACCGCTCCGTAGCTCGGAGCACCCCACGGGCCGGCTCCAGGCTGGCACGCCCGCAGGCCCTGTCGGTAGCCTCACGGCACCTTTACGAGGCAGGTGTGACCTGTTCCGTTGTGCAGACATGGAAACCAGGGCTCAGGGCGGCAACCGGCCTCTGGTCGCGTGGACAAGGAGGAGATGTGGGAGGCCTGGCCGACCTCGCCACTGCCCATGGGCCTCCAAAGTGGCACCAGGAACAAGCCAGGCGAGCAGTGGCCACGAAGGCGCCAGTCCTCCAGCACCTTCGGGGCTCAGCAGACACGACCCAGAACTGTCTGGTCCATTCTAGACCTGGCTCACAACTAACAGGCACAACTGGCTCATAAAAGTGGGAACAGTCACTCTGGCTGGTGTGGCTCAGGGGACTGAGCACTGGCCTATGTTGCGGGTCACGTCCCTGGTTGGTGGCATGTGAGAGGCAGCCCACCGGTGTTTCTTTCCCTCCCTCCCTGCTTCTCTGAAGATAGATAAAATCTTTACAAAAAAAAAAAAAAAAGAAAAAGCGAGAAAAGTCATATGACACAGTACGTACTTTGTGAAAATAAACGGGATGAGGTGGCCCATATGCATGGCTTCGGAAGAGGGGCCTCTGCCCGTGTACAGGTAAAACGGCTTCTTGTTTTCATAGGCGTCAAGGACTTGGTTCATGTCTCTAAAGGGAAGAGAAGGAGACTGTGTGATTTTTCTGGGAAAAAAAATCAAGGCGCTAATGCTCACTTGGGAATGTTGAGACAAACGTGTAAGAACTAGTTTGTTACCCTTGGTGCTTATGTTAGAAAAATGACAGGAACTGGCTACTGAAATGGGTTCTGCAATTGTTTTAAAAGATTGTTTTAGAAGATGTGAAGGTTTGGAATAACGTGTTAAAAAAAAGGACGGATACGGCTAGGCAGCCACTGGACTCGGGAACTTTTCCAAACACCAACACCGACACATCACCCGCATTGTGCACTGTCCCGGGCCACACCAGGCCAGCCCCGCCCAGGCCCTGTCTGGAGTCACCCGCTCTACAGAGCCAGGCCGGGAAGATGGCAGGGTCCCACGGGTCCTGACTTGGGACCCTCCCCAGGACGGGGTCCACAGACGAGGCCTGGGGCAGGGCCCTCCTTCCTGGCTGCACACCAGGGCCGCGTGGCCGCTGCGCTCACACCGCACCTGCCTGGGCCCCCGCTCAGACGTGCGGACCCCCAGGGCCTGAGGTGACATCTGGGAAACCGTATTTTTAAAAAGCTGCCCCAGTGGCTGTGGGATGTGGCAGGGTGTGAAACCACCACTCTAAGGTGCGACTGTTTCTTGCTTTGGGGTACAGTTTCCCAGAATGAAAGAGAAGCAGCCACCGCTTCCAGACTCTGGGCAGAAGCCGGGCGGCAGGGTCCGGAGCCCCCGCCTGTGCTCACCTCTGGGGGACAGGGGTGCGGGCATCCTGATGCTTTGCGCTTAGGTTCCCCCCCTGCTGCCCCATGGAGTAAATACACACTACTTTTGAAATAAGGAATAATAAAACACTTAATTTTGCAGGAAAAAAGCCCTTCTTTGGCGCTGTCAGGCAGTGCGTGGGCTGAGCAAGGCCCCACTCCTGAGCTTAGCTTTGCGAGGACAGTTTGTCTCACTCAGCGGAGGAGGGACCCAGCCAGTGCCCGCCGTTTGTCGGCAGCTGGACAGTGGGAACGAGAGCTCATCCAGTCCCGTCTTACAGGTGATGCCGTTAGATAGCGGGGCGTTCTCGGATTTGAGAATGGCCAGAAGCTTCAGGTCCTACGCTTCCATCAACTGACACAGGCCCTTGGGGAGACAGCCAGACACAGACGGCCCCATGGTGTGTGTCTGTTCCCAGGAGACGCGCAGCCCAGGCCAATCCGCAGACATGGAGAGGAGCCTGGCGGCTGCCAGCAGTGGGTGGGGAGAAGGGCAGGTGGGAACTGACTGCCAAGGGGCAGGGGGCCTCTTTTCAGGGAGATGGAAAGATTCTGGAAGCAGAAAGTGTGATGGCTGCACAACCCGGTGAACAGACTAAAAAGCAGTTGTATGTTTGAGGAAGGCGACCCAAGTCTCATGAAGGAAAAAGGCTCAGCAAGGCCTAGAGTGCTCTGCCCCCAGAATTCGAAGTGCAGGGCAGGGTGCTGCCTGGTGACCTGTGCGTGTCCTCCGGTCACTGGGGAGCGGGAGCAGAGCAGAACAACCCCACCTTGGACCATAAAGTCCGTGAACGGAGCCTCGAAAACGGGCGGGCCCCCACCCCGGGTGGTCTGTGGGGTGGGAGAGGCAGACGCCCCTTGGAAGCGGCCCACTTTCTGATGTTCTGTCATGGCGTTTCTGGTCTAAGGTGGGGCTGTTCGGCTGCATGTACGCTCCATCAGTTTCTCTTCTGGTTTACTTATGAATAGGCCAGCACAATATGAGGAAGAGGGTATGTAATTTCAGGAAGCCTGGGGCTGGTTGCGTGGGGAATGCTGAACCTGGACATGACCTGGGACGAACCTCATTTGCTACGAATGCATCCTTCGCCCTGTGAAGTGGGCCATCTATAGCGGAACAAACTAAGGGCCAGAGCGCGAAGGGATGGCCGTGAACCACTGCCAGTCACTGACAGGGCAGCAGGTGACTCCGGGTCCCTGACAGCTGCCTTCCAGGGTCCCCACAGCAGCAGGCGGCCTGAGGGAGGAGCCTTCTGTAACTGCCCCGTGTGAGTTACAGAAGCGGGGAGCAGACCTGCGGCGGGAAGCCCGACCTGTGAGAGAAGAAGACACCCCTGCGCAGGAAGCGGTGTGGTCGCTGGCCCGTGGCTCGCTCTATCCGGTTCACCAGCTCTTTGTCGATTTTACTGCTGCCAAATCGAACTGAAAAAGAATCAGGAAAAAGGAATTGGTGGGAGGTTTGGTGACCAGGTATTACTGAAGTGAAGGGGAGAGCTAGTGATCCACATGCAATCTTGATGAACCCAAACCCCAGAGGTCTCTGCTCCGGCCCCGCCCCCAACACCAAGTCCAGCATCTTCTGTAGAGGTGACGACAGCCGAGACCACCACCAGCAACAGAAAACAATTCACAGAATGATATGCTGTTTTGTCTGGGACTGGGTTCTGATGGGAAGCATCCACAATGCACACAGGTGCCTATTGCTTATTAACGTATGGTTTATATACACTGACAACTACACTTTTTAATATTCTTTACTGTTGAACTGAGCTGATGTCCTGAAGCGAATTTTCCCCCACTGACAGCCTACACTCACAGGTCATGGAAAATGGCTTTGCTTTGGATCAGAACATTTCAGCTCTGCTGCTTCTCTGCTGGTCAGTGATGGTCTCGGAGGAAGGGCTTTCCTGGGCAGGGAGCCCCCCGAGGAAAGGCCTGGAAGTGGTGACAGGCCGCCTGTGAGCAGACCCCGCTTCGTAAACTGGTTTTCAGGCGTCCGGCTGCCACGAGGCAGGAGAAAATGTCAACGCTTGCAAAGGTGTCGTGTCCATAGACCTTGCCCAAGTGCTGAATTGTTCAAGAAAGGAAAAAGGTTCTACTGAGCTATCTACTGGAAATCACTATTTTGCAATATGCTTTATAACTCATAAAGGATGTTTAAAAATCATCCTTTAGGAAAAGAATGCACCACCAAAAAAGTGGAGGGTTTCTTTTTTTTTCTGGCATTGAAGCTTGGCTGGGTTTATGATTAATTCAGCGATAACGACATCAATGGAATCACAATCAATTCAACAGCAGCAACATCAACGGAGCCGCCCATACAGTCTGGCCTTCCCCAGGACGCACCAATGAGCTTGTCGTAGTCAATGCCTTTTGCGCTGCTTGTCTGCACGGTCCATGGGTCCACGAAATCCTCTTCTGCCTCCGAGGCACTGCTGCCTGCTGGGCCTGGCTCCCCGGGAGGGCTGTCGGCCTTGAAGTCCTCGCCGGTGGCAGCTCTGTAGGCCATTTTCAGTGACAGCAGCAGCGTCACTGCAGAGTCAACTTCATCCTGAGCGCAGGAAACAAGGGGCAGGGTGAGGATGTCAGCGAGAGCGGACGCTCGCTGAGCGTCCCCGCTGCCACACGGCGGCCCGGGGTCAATGCTGCCACGCATGGCACCATGTCGACTCCCACAGCAGCCCTGCGAGGCCAGCCTCACTGTCACCGTCCCTTCCCACCCTGCGACTCGGAGAGGAGCGGGGGCTGGCCCGTAGACACATGGGCTGCGTTCCATTTTTAGCTGTCGTTCCAGTGCGGTGGGTCGCCACCTAACACTACGGGGACGGCAGCAACACAGTGCATGCCACCTGTGGCAGCGTCACTGCACACAGAGCTCTCCAGCACCACTGACGCGGAGACCACGCGCGGCCGGGCCCTCTCCTCGAGTGCACCGAGCTCTGCGCTGAGCCCGTTTCTACATTCTGCACAGATTGATAGGAAAATTTACGGGAACTTAAATAGCATGTCCACAAGGACAGTGACAGCAACTGAAACAGCGTGAAGACAGAAAAAGGCAAAGAAAAACCATGGGCTTTCAAGCCATGACCTGAGGATGGACTCACAGGAAACCGCTGTACTATTGTCCAGTTTGCAAAACACTTATTGTTTCAAAACAAGCCTAAGGAAAACAAAGGCGGAGACCCCGGGCATGCTGAGGACCCCTCTTCCGGGAGCCCTAGCCTGCCGCCCAGCAGATGGCCCATCAGAGGGGAGGCCCTCGCGGGGCAGAGTGGCCCGTTATAGCCCGAGGCTCCATTCCCACCACCGGCTGGCGGGATCGGCTCACAGACCACTCCCACAACTGGCCTGGCTGGATCAGCTCACAAACAAGAATATCCGCAGTCCAATCTGCTTGCCAAGGAAAACAGAAGTGTTTCCCTTTAGAGTGTTTACGTGATGTGCTATGCACTGGGCTCCCCAGTGCTCGGCTGTGCCGGCAGGCTCTGCTCAGCGAATGCTCCCTCTGCATAGCCCCGGGCCACAGAGGGCTGCGCCTGAGGGCGATTTTGCAGATAGATGTGTGTTTCCAACTCTGAGGCTATCTGAAATTCACTGAGACAAGTCAGAGCTATGCAGTCCATCAGCCCACGGATAGACCTCACACAAAATAGGATGTCTGCCTGGGTGAGAGAGGCAGGTGCGTTCTACTCACCTCATTTCTGCAGTGCCTGAGCTCAGTGCTTGCAACAAAGCAAGTGGTTAGCAAGCGTGACCTACCCAGTGAATGATGGGAAGAAACACCTTGCTTAGGAGTGCACTGCGGTCAGCGACCCCGTCCCCCCGGCTGCGGTGGCACCCACACCCAACCTCACTGAACTCTGCCTGCAGCTCGGTGGCCCGGTGAAAGCCATACGTGTAACCAGTGTCCCTGCTCGGACACCATCTAGTCTGAATGGGACTGAAGGAGACAAGCCCCGGGTAGCGCTGCCCAAGAGACAAGGCTGGACGCACACGTGGAGACCCTGCCAAGTCACCCACCTTCGAGGCCAGCCCCGCCTTGAGGGACCTCACGTGCTCCCCTTGGGTAACTATTTTGTGGAACAGCTCTACCGCGGAGGCGCAGCCGTGCTCGTCCGCCATCTCCTGGGACCAGGGTCACAGCTGGGCAGTGGAAGGGCTGCTCAGTGGTCCGGACAAGCTGTGAGGGAGAAGGAGGAGAGAGGGGGGTTAGCAAACTGCTGCGGCGGCTTTTTCCTTCCCGTATCTAGTCCTTTCTCAAAAGGCTGGAGGTGAGTCATAATGAAGAAGGTGGATAAAACAACCTTAATAAAATATAAGCAGAAATTTGAGCCCATGAATAAGGGGAACAGAGGAAGAACAAGTGCCCAAAACGAGGACTACAGGAACCGCTTGTCCCTGAAGTTCAGGACTCAGCAACAGAGCAGCTGTGTCCCACGATTCCGTGCCTGGCACTTTTCTAAGCACCTTCTACACACCAATTCACCGAAGCCTTAGAGAGGGATTTATTTCACCGATGAGCACACTGAGGCACAGCAAGTAAGGGGTCGAAATGGGATACAAACTCCTGCAGTTTGACCCGAGAGCCTACACTCTCCAACATCACCCCACAGGTTATCGGGGTGAGCCTCAGCCCTCACCTGGAAGGTGGGAACCACATCCCAACACTCACTGTGGGATGGGCGTGGGGGGGTGCACCAGCGCGGGTACGTGCACAGGCTAGCCCGGCCTGGGCCCCACGGTGGAGGGCTCATGAACAGCTGGCTTTGTTTCTTTGACCACTGAAAAACTTTTTTCTACTAATTCCATGAACTAAACACAAATTTGAGGGGTAATTTATTTTATTTATCCATTGCTAAATATTTGTTTTAAAACTGTGTGCATTTCAAGTAAACCGTTCTTTGTAGAACCAGAGACCACGATACTGAAACCAGGACAGGGTTCTTTCCTTTCTGGCTGAGAGTCACCTCAATTTCCAGAAAGGGAAGTTTGGGGACATAACTTATTTAGATCACGAACTGGAAAGTTTAGGGAAGTCTGTAATAATGTCAAGGAGCCCTGACCTGCATGGCTTTGCTGGATGGACATCATCCTGCAAAGTGAAAGGAAACAGGTTTGATTCCGGTCAGGGCCCCGCCTGGGTTGCAGGCTTGGTCCCGGGTTGAGGTGCGCACGAGAGGTAAATTTCCTCTCTTCCTCCCTCCCCTCCCCCTAAAAATAAATAAAATCTTAAAAAAAGAGAGAGACAGAAGGAATGTGGAAGAAGCTCTGCCTGGCACTAGAGGCCCATATCAAATAGCAAAGGGTAGAAAGTTACTTTTAGCCACAAATGATCAAGTCTCATGTCCATATACTTGATACATGATCCCGAATTCTCCCAACTTTCAAAGCAGGGTGCACAGTTCAGTAAGTCCTCACTTAACATCATCAATAAGTTCTGCCACTTAAAGTGAAATGACGCACAGGAAAATCAATTTTACCACAGGCTGACGGATAGAAACAAGAGGTACGTTCCTGCCGCATCTCACCCATGTTACCAGTAAAGCTGCAAAGTCCGTGAGCAGAACCAAAGCCAAACACAGAGGGAAGGTGCCTCACACATCCCTGGGGGAGTGCCGGGGCGAGGGGTGGGTGGCCCCGGGGCACCAGCCTTCCCCTGCTGTGGGGCAGGTCATGCGGATGAGCGGCCAGATGGACAAGGCCTGCTTAGAGGGTTCATGTTGTAGGGAAAACGTGTACTTTTGTGTTTTTTCTTAATCTTCACCGAGGATGTATTTTTTGATTACAGGGAGAGAGGAGGGCTGGGAGGAAGCGGGGCGGGGCGGTGGAGAGAGATCCCGTGCTTCCTGTACACGCCATGACCTGGGATCGAACCTGCATGCTTCCGTGCAGGGGGTGACGCTCCAACCAACAGAGCCGTCTTGCTGGGGCAGCATATATCTTTAAATATCAGATTCCCGTTTAAGAAGAGGCAGATGGGAACTAAGTCTAACTGAGGGGAAGAGGAGGTCTCCCTGCTCTTGTGATCACGAGGCAGATACTCGCTGTGTGGGAGCCGACCGCACCATGAACCTTGTGTGCATGTATGATGCAACCTCGTGAGGGATTACACCGGGAATGACCAGAGACAAGGAGAACAGGGCCCCCACCTCTCGCATTTCATGCACCCACCCATTTGCCACCGTCTCTCCCATCTAGTCAATGTCCTCCTTTAGTTCTTAAAAAAATTTTTTTTTAATCCTCATCTGAGGGTATGTTTATTGACTCTGAGAGAGAGGGAGGGAAAGAAGGAGGGAGAGGGGGAGAGAGACTGAGAAACAGAGAAACATCCATCATCCAGCGCCCCTACGTGCCCCGACCTGGGACTGAACCCTCAACCTCGGCACGAGCCCTGACCAGCAATCGAACCTGCGGCCTTTGCACAGGACGATGCTCCCACCGACAGAGACACCCGGCCAGGGTATCCTCCTTTATTTGTTAACTACCTTTTAGAATTAAGTTTAACTTCAAAGGTAAATTTGTGACCCCGAGTTTGGAGCCTCTGGAATCTCACCACTAGTTTGCATGCACATTGGTATATACCGGGCTCTAAGCAGTGGCGTGAGAGGCCAAAAGGCTTAAGACCACTGTTTTAAGTGCTAACCCACAAACTGTACCATGTTAAAGGAAAATTGCTTTATCGATTTAATAAGACTGTAACTTAAAACAAAGAAATGAAACTATAATCTGTGAAGCCATCTATTTCCTCTAAGGAAGTGCCAGGAGTATAAAGACCAATATGGCATATTCCCCAGTGAATCACAGCACACCTTAGAGAGAAAGCTACAAGGCTCTTAAAAATTAATTCTCAATTCCTCTTTTAAAGAACTTGAATCTTGTGCTCATTTTGAAAGGTCCTATTGTTCTGGAGGAGCATAACAAGCACTTGAAGAAACTGGGTACAGTTTTGGGATAAAAAGAAGAATTATAGAACTGTTCCATGGAACAGTATGACAATAACTCATCACACAATTAAGATCAGGATATACCGATTCTGCCATTTGGGGCAAGGGTGGCCTCAAGACAGCCAATTCCGGAGCAGCCGGGAGTGGCTGGGAAGGTGAACCCCGGAGTTCTGGATGCCTGGAACACCAGGGGTGGGATACCACCCCCCACCTCCTGGACCCTCGTGTGGACAACAATGGCCTTGGACTCTCAAGTTCCCAGAGGACAAGAAGATGGCTTCTTTAGAGCAAGGAGTTCTTTCATACTTCTAACCTTGGAACAAATTAGGTTCACTTTCTCTTTTGAAAGCAATGAAGAGGAAAAGTTATTTTTCTCTCCAAGTATTAAAGCGAACATTACCTTAAAAGGCAAAGAAGACATTAATCTCTATGAAGTCAGGCAGAAGGTATCTTTGAATACCACAATGAGACGGCTAATGTGGACGATTTAGGGAGGCCTCATCGGTGAGAAACAGGGCAGCCAACATGAAGGTGCGAAAACTCAAGCCATGACTCCCAACAGGCAGCTGCTCACCCAGTATCTCCATTCCCTGGGGGCGGGGGGGGGGGCTGTGAATCACCTGAACTTCGGCTCAATGGGATGAAACAAAATGCCCAGCATCCTGACCCTAAGACAACCTCTCTCTCTTTCAGCCGGGCTTTCCAGCACTTTGGTAAAAATACTAACAAGCTAAGCCTAACAAAAGGGGGCAGTACATACCTGGCTTGGGAGGCACTGCAGAGGCGGCCACGGGAGCAGTTGAGGCTGCTCTCAGCAGCTGGACTCTTCTTTTATAGTCCTTTCCCTCTTTCTTTCAGTTTCCTTTTTAAACAAGACTTTTTGTTTTCTTTTCACCCCACCCTTCAGCTATTTCCAATTGGGTTTCTTAGAAATCAGCCCATTTCTCACCAACACTACAGCCTCTTGACCAACTTCCTTGATGAGGCTGCCCAATCAGGGGTGGGCTGTGTGTGTGTCTGGGGCGGGGGTAGGGGTGGATGGGTGGGAGTGGGGTGCGGTGGGGACCAATGAAACTCTCCTGAGAGTCGAACAGTTCAGTGCATTGCACGGAAAATGGAATCATTGCATCAGCCACCGCATTCCTCACGTTGGCCTCTGAATAACCTTCCCACCCTCTTCCCGTTCCATTCCCAAAGGGGCCCTGGAAAGTCCCTGGGTCTGTCGTGCACCCAGGCGGCGCAGTGCAGTGGAAAGACCAGGAGTCCCGGCTCACGCAAACCTGGGTTTTAAAGCCAGTTTTGGCATTTCCTTATTTCGAGACCTTGGGCAAATCAGATTACCTCTCTGCTTCATCCTCGGTTTCCTCCTCTGTGGAATGGGCATAAAGGAGCCTCCCAGCTTTACCGTGGAGGGGACTGAGCGCGATACTATAGGCGAAGCCCCTGGCTTTGAGAAAAGGGAGGAAGTGGGAGAGGATGAAGGGTCGGCGCCGGCCGGAGTGGGCGACAGGCCGGATGGGGGCACGAGGAGGAAGGGGCGAGGGGCGCGGTGGTACTAGAACCCGGCAGGCAGGGACCCGGGCTCTCAAGAGGATACTCTGGACCCTGGGGTGCAGGCGGCTCCAGGAGGGCGAGGTCATCAGGCGCCGCCCCGGCCCTCCTGCCGCATTCCCTCACTTACCAGCCCATGCGGGCCTGTCAGCACTCAGCAGAGCCGGTTCAGCCTCCTGGGCGTCCGTGGAAACACCGTCCGGCTGGAACAACGTCCGGTACGGCTGCGCCTCATTGGCTGTTCATGCAGGGGGGCGGGCCAGAGGCTACCGCTGATTGGTTGGCGGTCCTGGCGTCGGCGGAACGCGACCGAGAGGCGGAGTGCAGGCAGGTGGGGCTCCGGGAGGACTGAGCGCTTCCGGTGCGTGCGGTGAGCGGCGGGCTTGGGGCGGGAGGCTGCTGGCACCCGGCGGCGGTCGGAGTGCCCCGCGCCCCTCATCGCGGGCCTTTCCGCGCCGCTGTCCGGTCCTTCCTTTCCGGATCTTCCCGAACGCGCCGTGCTCTGGGCCATCCTCACCGCTCGCTCTTGACCGCTCGGCTAACTCCTATTCATCCTTCAAACCCCGTCTCTGGTCGTATCTTGTTTGTTGCCTTCATTAGTGTGTGGTCTCCGGCATAGGGTCCGTGTTTTGTGCTGAACCTCTGCCCACACCAGACCCAGCATATGGCTTGGCACAGTGTGGGCAATCAGGAAATGTTTGTTGAATGACAATATCCGATTTCTTTACTTTCCCTGTGTCCCGTCCCAGCAGATGCTGGCCATCAAACAGTGAACAAAACACGCAAAGTCTTGCCCTCGTGCCGCTGACACGCCAATGAAGGTCATTGCCGCTCCCCTCTTCCATAGTCTCATTTCTCCTATGACCTTTCCTTTTTTTCTTGCTGTACCTCATCCTCTTAGTTTAATCACCTTGTCCTACCATGGAACATTTTCCATTTTCCCTTTTGTCTTAGAAACATAAAAGGCAGCAAACACTTTCCCCCTAAAATTTATATTTGTCCCAGTGGTTCCCAGTCTTCTCCATTTTTGGCCTATTTGTCATCTTTGCCTCCTCCGCTCTGACCCCTTTTGATTAGATTTGTTGCTTCTCATCATCTGCTCCCTCACTTCCCCTGAACATTACTCAGAGGCGACCTCCCCTAGGCCTGCCTTGGCCTCCTTATAGGAAACTGACCCGAGGCTCCCTGCCACCTCCATCCAACTTTCTGTTTTACTTTTCTTCTTAGGATTTCTCACCACCAGACATCCCCTCTGTCCCTTGATTATGGTCTGTTTCTCCCAACTGGCACGTGGGTGAGCACTGGGAGCGCAGGGCATGTTGTGCTCTTGTTGGCCCGCTGTGGTGTCCTCCGTGCCTGGTGTGGGGCTTGGTGAGCAGCCTGCCCTCCAGTGTGTACTGAAGGAGGGAATGAAAAGTGTGTGAAGCAGGTTGTACGGGGATCCCTGTCGTCCGCATTCCTGCACCCATTCCATCCTGCTGCCTTGCCTTGCTCGGAAGTGGGGCTAGTGGGCCCCAATCCCACAGCTCTCTCGTCTTTTGCTGTAGACCTTGTCTTTAATTCTAGCCACGGGCTCCTGTCAGTGGACCCTGTGGACGAGTGGCTGGGTGGGAATCCATCCTATCGGCTGGGCACAGGCGCCCTGGTGGTGGGAAGGAACGCGGTAGGTTCCCTTTGACAGGAAGGAATGGGATGGTGTGCACAGGAGTTGCGATGTCTGATTAGGACGGGCTTCAGGGCCAGGCTAAGTATTTTGAGAAGAAATGCCAAATCATCCACGGTGCTCAGTTCCATGAGTTTCGAGTTAGTCCATTATGTTATATTCTATTTGAGATGGGCAGGGTTGGTGTAGAAGTTTTCTTTAGACGATGCCTTTGTGTGTGGATTAGGCTGAAGATGGAAGTGGGATTTTGGGAGGAGGCAGCTGACCTAGCTTTTTTAGGGCGAATGGCACCCTTTGGGGAAAGGCATGGAAGGAGTGGGGTGTTTGATTCCAGGGGACATGAAGCCCACTTTCTAGGGGAAGACAGGCTGTCTGGAATGGCTTGGTAGATGACCCAGAAGGACTGTTCTGGTGCCGACCTTAATGCACCTGCATGGTTTACCAAGCGGCACACCCGGCTTTCTCCGGAGCTGGTCCTTGCTTGAGCTTTCCATGCTGCTCCACCGCGCCCTCTGGTGTCTGGGATGGGACGTGTCCGGCATCCTCTGCCTCTTGAGGGAACTTCCTGTTAACAGCGCAGAACCGAACTCCAGATGGAATATTTCTTTCTAGAAACTAGTTGGAAAGTTTTATCGTGTGTGATGGTTCAGGGTTTCAGGAGGAATTTCTTATAAAGGGGACATTCACTGTTGTGTGAGCCTGTGAGTTGGAGTGAACCGGGCAGATCTGGATGACACACTCACGCACCTTCGGCGCGTGGGTGTGCGTCTGCCTCGGCATCCGGCTCGGAGTGGAGATGGGGTATGTGCGGGCAGCGTCCGAGGCAGAGAGACTGCAAGGGAGGACTGGAGCACAGGGAGAGGGCGGAGTGAGCGCGGCACGCTTTCCCCCGGGGCATTCCGGGCGTCTTTCCGTTTCGGTGTGTTCAGACCTAACCTAGTCCTGTCGACCAGTGAATGGCTACTGAACACACTGCAGGCTGTCTTTATACTCCGATCTTTGCAAACGTATGCTGGCGTTTGTGTAGGATAAGGTCCTAAAGAGGGGATGTTGCAGTAAAAACTCTGTTTAAATTTGTAATTGCCCTTCCAAAAGGTGTCTTTATTTTTATCATTATTACTTATTTTTATTAAGATATAATTGACATATAACATGGTGTAAGCTTAAGGTATACATGTGTTGATTTGATCATATCATTATATTGCAATATGATTACCACCATAGCATTAGCTAATACCTCTGTCATGTCACATAATTATTGTTTATTTTTGAGGTGGAAAAATGCCAGCATCTGGGTCAGTTGGCTGGCACTTCCTGGTTCCTCCTTTTTTTTCTGTTTTTGTTGAATATACTGGAGTGACATTGGTTAATTAAATTGTATGGGTTTCAGGGGTACATATCTGTAGTGCGTCATCTGGATATTGTACCAAAAGGCAGCTTCACAGTCCTGAGTCCGTCTGGGCACCGCGTCTGTGGTTAGTCAGGTCCTATTTTATACCTTTCAGTGAAGTTTTAGTTTTCCTCACGTAGGTCTTGCTTATGTTTCTGTGGCTGTTAAATTTATTTCCAAATTTCCATAGTCTTCGTTTTAAAAAATGACATCTAACCTATTATGCCTGGTGTACAGAAAAGCCCTCGTATTTTATGTGTTCGTTCTTGTGGGTTTTTCCGTCTAGGACTGGCCAGATGGCATGTTTTCTTTTCACTTCGCGTGGTGGTAAATATCCTTCCACGTGTGCATTCTGACCCCTGGTTTTGTTTGCTCTTAGGTAGTTGGTGCTCGAAGGACAGCAAGAAACTGTGTCTTCCATGGCTTCATTGGTGGCTTACGATGACTCGGACTCAGAGGCTGAGAGTGAGCCCGTGGGAAGCGTCCTTGCTGCCCGCCAGGTGGAAGGCACTTGTGGTGGGGTCCCGCCGCGTGGCCAGGGTTTCGCACTGGGAGTCCCGGACGAGATGGAAGCGCGCGTACTGCCCACGAAGCTTGGTTCTTGTGAAGATCCAGCTGGCCAGCGTCTCCCACTGGCTCGGCTCTGGAGAGGTGACCCAAGCTCTTGCCCCAGCCGGAGGCTACAGTGGCCCAGGACAGAGCCCGAAGTCACCTTCCCCACCAGCGAGCCCCCTTGTGCTTCCCTGTGGCTCAGCCACACTCCCGCCGTCCACGTGCCCCTGGCAGCAGCCCGCTGTAAGCAGGTGAAACTCTCCTGGGGAACTTATGATCCTGCTGAGCCATCTGTCTGTGTCCAAACCCAACCTGGGACCCCAGGCACAAATGGCAGCTCCCTTCAGAAGAAAAGGCGTGAGGACTGTGTTGTGCCCTACACCCCGAAAAGGCTGAGGCAGCTGCAAGCATCGAGCGCAGAAGCAGGCAAGGGCCACGCTGCGGAGACACAGGGCCCCTCCATAGGGCGTACCCCGGCGCCCCTCTGTGTGGAGCCCAGGGTGTCTGAGTTTATTCAGCCATATTTGGACACTCAGTATAAAGAAACCAAGATTTCCAGGAAGGTGCTCTTTTACCTGGGAGGCCACCGGGGCCCTGTCAACAGCATTCAGTGGTGCCCAGTCTTTTCGAAGAGCCACCTGTTTCTCTCAGCTTCTATGGATAAAACCTTCAAGGTAAGATATGAGTGAAACTGCCTTTTCCAGGCGTTCTCAGGACTACACTGCCGGGGTGCCTTGCCCTTCAAAATGGCGGCGTGGGGGTTACAGGCTGAACATGGCCTCCTGGGAATCTCTGCCACGCTCTTCACTGCATTCAGGAGAGTCCTCAGGGGCCCCCGGATCTCCGGTCCCTCCGTGCTGGGCCTCACTGGCACTGCCTTGGCCAGGTCGCCGGGTGACGCCAGCTAGTCCTTACCCCTTGTGGGGTGCTGAGGACGTCTGGACACACTGCAGTCCGGGGGGGAGGCGGGCGCCCGGGAACGCGGGCCCTGCCCCCTGACTCCCAAGGCGCGCTGAGCAGTGCCGGCTCCGCGCCAGGCGCTGTGCTGGCTGCAGGGGCGCAGAGGTGGACAAGCCCGGTCCCTGGCTTCTGGGCACGCACACTGTGGCCAGGGTCACGGGGAAGTGGGAGGCACTCACACGGTGGGCTCAAGGCTGTGGGGAGAGGCCCCGGTCGGACACCCAGGGCCACGGGAACCCGTGGGAACCCGTGGGAACCCGTGGGAGGGATGGCGCAGCAGCCTGGAGGGCTTGAAGGAGGGGGCGGGGCACATGGTGAAGGCGGTGGGGTGGGGCGGGGCAGAAGGGCGTCCTTGGCTCTCATCAGGGAGGCCTTAAGGGGCCCAGTGGGGGTGAGGGGCCAGGCCGGGGAGGACTGCGGGTGTCCTGTTGGGGGCTTCCAGTCTACACAGAAACTCGATTTTTCATGGTTATTTATTTATTTATTTATTTATTTAATTTCCGGAGCAAGGGAAAGGGAGAGGGAGAAACATCAGTGGGCTGCCTCTCTCACCCCGCTTGCTAAGGACCTGGCCCGCAACCTGGACGTGTTCCCTGACACCGAATCAAACCGGTGACCTCTGGGTTCCCAGGCCGCCGCTCCGTCCCCTGAGCCACCCCAGCCGGGGCTCGTTGCTGTTTCTTTATTTTAACTGACACTGAAGAGATGCGACTCACGGTAAGCGACCGCAGCCGCACAGGCGTGAGGTGTGGCAGGCGTGTCGCACGTGCCTGCCGCCTGCCGCCAGCCCCTCTGAGCTATACGCTGTGTCCCTCCCTCCTCGCTCTCCTGGGCACCTGGCCACCTCGCACAGCGCCCACATGGAGGAGGGCCCGGATAAATCTGCGCTGAACCAAAGCTTCCAGAAAATAAAATGGCTTTGGAGTTGGAGCTGGGCGGTCGCTGGTCAGCTGGCCCGAGTTGTCCCCTCCGAGTCCAGTGTCTCATCTGTAAAGGGCACCATTGTACCCACGTCTGTGGTCTTGTGAGAAAAACGCTCACAACGGCCCCCGGCACAGAGCTCCATAAATATCACCGGCTCCCTCTGTTTTCCTCTGAGTTCTGGAGCCAGCCTGCCCAGGACATTGTATTTGCAAGTTCTGCTTTGAGCTTTTTCCCTCAGGAGGCATCTTTGGAAATGAAATGAGGCCCACGCACAGCGACGTCTCTGATGTGAGCTAAGTTGCTGGGTGCCATTTTTAAGCGGCCACGTTGAGTTCTGAACCAACATGCCTGCGTTCTTTCCTGGCAAGGCTAATCGAGTTATGTGTGGACGGCGCCCATTCTGCCTCCAGCCTGAAGCCCAGGGGTTTACCCACGGGGGGGCGGGGCTCCTCCCGTGCAGCAGGGACCCTGGGGTCCGCTCAGAGGCTTCTGGCATCCTGGTGGGTGTCAGAAGCCGCTTGGGCTGGTCCTGGGGCTTCTCAGCTCTCCTTCCTGAGAGTCCGTCCCCACCGAGGGTGTGTGTGGGGCCTGCGTGGGGCCAGGTGGTGTCCGGCAGGCCACAGGTGTGGGCTGGAGTTAGAATTACCTGGGATTGGGGTTTGCTTCCACCCCAGCAGCTTTGTGACCGCGAGCAAGTCTCTTGACCTCTCTGAACCCTGTTTCTGTCCTCAGTAGAACAAACTTGGGTGTGGCTGGGGCCTCTAAGGTGGGGCAAGTGCCCAGGCCCCGGGCGTCCTAAACGCTCATCTTAACGCCGAGCACGTGGTGGAGCTTTGTGGAGGGCAGTGTGAGGTAGGAGTCCCGTGGGATGCTGCAGCCCCCTTCTGGTACCCCGGGGGCGGGGCAGGTGGGCAGACGAGGACAGCAGAGCCTGGAAAGGCAGGCTGGGCTGCCTGCACAGAGATGGGTGGAGGGAGGCGGGGGTGGCTGGTGTGCCCTGCTGGGCGCCCACTGCCCGGCTCTCCATGAGATCGTGTCTCCTGGTGGGGACGGCAGTCCTGGGGCCCGGTGGGGTCGGTCCGCGCCTTGTGTCAGTGAGGGGCTCAGTGGGCCCCCTTGGATCCTGTTGGCTGGGGATGTTTAGATTTCCTGAGCAGAGGCACCCCCATGATAGCTTTCAGACAAGAGTGTGTTGGAGTGAAACCCCAGATGTGGGGTGCTGGGCTTGTTTGGTGGTGTCGTGGGTGTTGTGGAGCAGGCGAGTTTGCGCATGGCGGGGACCTGGGACAGCCAACTGGCTGTGACACCTTGTGGCCAGAAGAGGGCGCAGTAGGCCCAGTTTGGGGAGGCTCCTCTGGCAAGAGGAGGGACTGGCACTCTGCTGGGGGCGGCTCACTGAGACTCGGGCCAGGGCCCTCTGTGGGGCGGGGGTGGGGGGCTGCCCACATGAGGCGGGACTGGACACAGTGGCCGCGCCCACCGTCCCGAGGAGCTGGTGCCCCGTCCCGAGGAGCTGGTGTGCGCTGCTCATCCTGAGAGTCTCCAGGGAGCCCAGTCCGCTACACTGTTTGTCCCTCGTGGCGAGGCTGCAGGGGTGGCACGGGCGGTGGCCCGGGGGCGGAGGGCGACTGTCGTCCTGGCCGCCGGGGTCAGCGTCTCTGACCCTTTCTCTGCTCTGGTGCCTTGAAAGTCAGGGCTTTTAGAAGCCACGGATGCACGCCCTTTGCCAGGGTTCTGTCTGCTTTACGGTATTTGAGTTTTCTTCAGTGGCAGCTATTTGGCAAGTTGATGTTGAGTCACCTTTAAGTGTGGAGACTGTGGCAGGGGCCTGGGGACTAGGTGGAGGCTGGGCTGGGAGCAGGCGGGGGAAGTCCTGGCTGGCCCTCGGACGTGCTGGCCCAGCTCAGGCTCGTGCGCGGCCTGGCAGGCAGCTGGCAGCCCTGGGTGGGCTGGTGCCAGAGGACGGGCAGTGTGGCAGGTCTTGGGGGCCTCGTCAGCTGGTATGTGATGGAGGTGGGCACAGGAGGTGTTGTATGGACGCTGAGTCTGGAGCGGGGACAGGGCTGTGGGCGCAGGTAGGACCCCTGCTTGCTTCCTCCCAGTTCTGGGTGGAGGGCAGAGGGCAGATGCAGCAGGCAGGGGGTGCCCCCAGCTCTCGCCCCCTTCCCGAGGGCGCTGTTCCCCTTGCCTTTTATTTGCAGTCTGCCAGCGTGTCTTCTTGCCCCCTACCACCAGCTCAGGAAGGGGGGACGAGTTTGGGGACAGGGGACACAACATTTCAGTTTGAATCTTCCCCCGCCACTGGATGGCTGTGTGATCTCTGGCAGATTACTTAACTTCTCTGATCCTCAACCAGTGTACGAGGCCTGTCCATAAAGTATCCAGCCATGCACTTTGAAAAATAGAGACATTTATTGAAGAAGATACAAGGAATATTGTGCAGAGGACAATGATGCGTCAGTCCCCATCAAAGTAGATGCCTTGGGACCTCACGCAGTTCTCCCAGTCACCGTTAGTTGCCTTGTATTTTCCTGAATCTCATCGATGGTCTGAAATTTCTTCTCTTTCAAAGGTGATTTTAGTCTTGGGAAAAGCCAGAAGTCTCAGGGCACCAAATCTGGGCTGTAGGGGGGCAGAGTCACCTGGGTGATTCGATGTTTCGCCAAAAAGCTCTGCCCGAGACATGATGCCTGAGCAGGTCCTTTGTTGTGGTGAGGCTGCCCATCACCAGTTGCCCAGAGCTGCGGCCTTCTGAGTCATCTGAATAGTTTCCGTAGGGGACTGTCAAGCTGAGTGCAAAATTGGTGCAGATTTGCTGCTCCACTCGCTTAGTCATTTTTAATGCAACGGCCACACAGTACACAGGCTCACTCAATGACGTCTACTGCCCCCACCGATTAGTACAGTGACGTTGTCATTATTTGTGTATACACATTCCAGTCCACTCTCCTTGGCCACCAGGTTACATTCATGTTGTGCAAACTGTTCTTACTATATTAACAATGGCTGGACTTTTCCCTGACAGACCTCGTATGTAAAGTGGAGCTAATTACACATGCCTCTCTGGGTTTTTGTGAAAAACAAATGACATTGGATATGAATTACCTAGCGTGGTGTCTGACATACAGCTGGCACTTCCTGTGTGCTCTTGTTCTTGCTTTTTCCCGGAAGTCTCTCTCTTCCTTGGCGTACGGTGGTGTCTCATTCTGCCTGCGTAGGCATGGAACCGTATCTGCTACATCTCGTAGATTTTAAGCTACTTGAGCATTCAATCTGGCCAGTCTAATTTTTATATTCCCTGTAGCACCTAGTGCAAAGTTTTGTACATGTTAAGTGATTAGTAAAGATTTAAAAAATTTTTAGAATTTTACTCCCAGCCTTGGGGAAAGAATTGTGTTTTAAGTGCATAAATCCTATTTGCCACTAGGGGGCACAGTAAGACTTACTATAAGCTGCTCACTGCAAGCTTCTAGAATCTGGAAGAATCCTTGGTTCAAGGTAACAGTTACAGAAATACGATTTTTTTTTTCCTGATCAGGAGAAAAACAACACAATCCATCTGATTAATCCACAGAACGTGGAGTGCCAGTTTCTTCCTCTCCTTAAAATGTAGTTTTGGAATTCATACATTTCAATTGGGCACATTACGGTGGAGAGATACTTATTTTAATATGTTCTAAATGTTCTGTGAGCTGTAAAATATGCTTATATTAGTTTTGAAAAATTTACAGCTTAAATTTAGAGAAATTAAGCAAAATAAAACAATGACTCATAACTCCGCGCCGCTGCT